TCCCCCCTTAATTTTTTGAGTAAAAAACGGGGGGTCGTCTTATACACGGTTTTCGGCAGGGTGATCAACAACTTCAAGATTGCCCCAGAAAAGCTCAACAACCTTGGCAACCAAAAAATACTGATTTCTTAATTGAGGGTTCAAAAAAATAGGGGTTGTCTTATACACAGAAAAATATGGTACATTTAGTTAACCAAATGCTACCTATGCACCCTCTCTCTCAATTAACATTCTGCTTCTGAGCAGGATTTTTTAAATTAAGTATGTGATACTCTTTTATAAAGGTAAAGAAGCTTCATAAATACTCTCTGATACAGACCAAAATTCAAGGCCTAGATGACATCCATTTATACTATGTTGTTTTCTATGCCTAATTCTGGGCTTGTCATTCTACTTTATTAATAGGTTCTCTACTGTCCTTTTTTTTTCCAACAGGAAAACATAAGGTGGCTACTAAAATAAAAAGATAAAACATACTCTGAAGTCCCTAGTGGAAGGGACTTCAGAGTGCGGAATGGCTTGCCACACTGGTGACATCCAATGAAAGAGGAGCTAGCTGACACCTGGAACTACTCGATTTTTCAATAGAACATCCATTTCATTTTCTGAGTTAAGAACTGAGTTTAATAACTAGGTGTATATTTCACCTAGATTCCTTGACCTGAAATATTTAGTTATTCTGATACTCTCCCCAGGAAAAAAAATGGTTGGGTTGAACATCTTCTGTTGGACCATGCCATCCATCCATATATATATACTCTGTAATATATATATAATATCCATATATATATTCCTCTGTAATAATGTGAACCACGTGGTTTCTTCCATGACCATAAATTTAGGGCTTTCAAGTCTAGAAATGTGCAAGCAGCCCTGATGCTGTCTTCATTGGATTGGCTCAGAAATGAACCTAGAAATTCCCCCTTTAAAAATAAAAATCAATTAGCTTCTAAATCAATACAACTTACTAACAACTTCTGCACACCCATGCGCCTCCTAACTTTCTTGCTCTCACTCATTCAAGTTTAATCTGTACAGAAAAAAGGGAAGAAATCCAGAAATAGCTGTCAACTGTTTCCAGAAATGATGACACCTCATTAGAATTTGTATGTGTGACTTCACCTTTCCATGCCACAATAAATGTTGGCATACAACTGTCTCGAGAGACAATGGAGTATGCCTCCAGGGGTGATGTCAAACCACTGGAAACAACAATAGCCATAATCTGCCAGCATCACACCCCAGCCCACAACAGGTCACCTGCACAATAATTGTTCATGTGTTTATTCTCATCTCCACCTCACAACAGCTTTAAGAATCACAAACTCTTCCATGCTAGCTACCAATGCAATCACTTTTGCATTCAGGTGACGGTGCAAGTTTGCAATGCACCAAAAGGTTATTAGGCAGAAAAGTTGCATGGGCTATGGATGTGAATACAGGCTTGGTGACATTCATAAAATACAGGCTCCACAAACTGAATGTGGTAGCGATTGTGCCAGGAGCTGGAAGATTATTAGAAGCCTCAGTTCCTATAAATGACAGCATTCATTTCTTCCTTATTCTTAGGTGAAAAGATCAAGCAGTCTAGGAGCCATGACAGGGCACAGTGATTCAGCTTGTCTCAGCTATGGGTGATGTCCAGTTAAGTCATACTCAATAATATGACTGACACTGGATATCATCATGAATAGCCTGTCAAATAGAGAAGAATAAGGGCAGGCTTAATTGAGTTAATATTTATGAGGCATTTGGAAGTCACTAAGCATTAGACAGATCTTGGACATACTGCCTTGACTTTTTGAACCAGCAAAATCATTTCGTTTTGGATTCCTATCGAACACCTGCCGTCTAAAACATCAACCTGTCTTGGCTGTTTGTTTTTTGCTTTGGGCAACCAAAGCTAATTTTAAAAGTCAAGCTGATGACAAAACTAAAGCCAAGAAGATTTTATTGTATTCTTAGCAATTGTCTATGGAGAAAATTAAGACTTTACAAATGAATGAACAACGATTCCAGTGTGCACTGAGTTGATAGAAAAACTCTAGCCATCAGCAATATCTGTCTCCCTATCAGTTCAAATAGACTCAAGCCTGGAGTATATAGATTTTTTTCAAGGGACAGCATTTGTCTTTAAAGGGTCACATCACAACTCAGTGGAACACCATGGGTCTGTGTCTCAACTGCTAGAATAAGTATGAGTGACGCCTGCTAGGGTAAAAGCACCATATTCAGAAATACTGATCATGACATCTATAAATGATGCAAACTGATAACATTTCCATGGCTTCTTTTGAGGAGTGGTTAGATAATTCAACAGTGGAACACCATGGGTTTTGCATAGGGATGAAAAATTTCATCAGAAAGAGAAGCAGGATTGGAAATTCTCTCAATCTGAATGTTCATTGATGGGTCAGGATCAGAAATCACACAAATTAATACAAGCAACATTCTTCATCATTGGTTCCCCCCCTAAGTCGGTAAATGTTACGTTAATGGTTACATTATTCTCTGCATGGTTTTTTTTTTTAATGATTCCCTTCCATTGAAATGTACAGAAATTGACTGTTTAATTCATTGCCTATGTTTTGGGAATAGAAAATATATGAAGCCGAACCGTAGTGGAATGGGAATGGTGCTGACTGTGACTAACTGAGGATGGGATGGAAATTGCTGCCTCCTTACATCCCTAGTTTTGCACACAGAATGTTCCGGGTTCAATCTCTGGCATTTCCATTTTGTAAGAAATGACCAAGTTCCAGGAGATGAAGAAGACCCTGAAGAGCTACTGCCAGTTGTAGCAGACACTATTGGAATAGATGGAACAACGGTTTGACTCATTATCAGGCAGCTTCCCATGGCCTTCTATCAATGAGGTGTATTTATTCCCTACTGCAGATATTCACAGGACTCCTCCAAACATTCAGGCATGTGGCTGAAGCTCTCCATAAGGCAAACTATGCATAATCTGAATTATTGCATTATGCTACCTCAAACACTCTTAGTGCAGCTTGATTGTGGGATGCACAGAAATACTATGATGGTTTCAGATTTCTTTCATGTATATTCTCTTTTGGAAAGCCAAGACAGAGAGTTAGCAGATCAGTCTGAGGCCCACTTTGCTTTAACAGTGTGACAACATTGTGTGCCCTCAGACCATTCTCTGGCCTACACCATGTGCGCAATCCAATCAGGAGGAACACAAACTAAAAAAGGACATAGTCAGTCCCTAAGACAATATTATCAGTGGATACCTCCCTGGAAAAATCATCACACTCAGGCTACTAACCTGCAGCATGTACAAACCTTTCAAATGGCAGCAGCTGCTCAACAACAAAATCCTGGTTGGGCATATAAGGGGAAGAGAGTAAGCAGCCGACAGAGAAGATTGTTCTTAAGTTAAGCTAGCTTTGAATGGAGCCTAAGGACTCCATCTGCCTCTGAAGGAAAGGGAATTGCATGAAGCCAGAGCTTTGTTTTACTACTCCCACCGATCTGTGCCAGCAGTATTCCTGGACTACAAGATGTTCAGCACATCAATGGTTAGGAATTAAAAATAGTTCGTTAAGAGGGTCTCTAAGCATTGCAAGAAGGATAGACAAGAGGTTGCTCTTCAGTTGTTGCTGGACTACATGTTCCATTACCCATGACCATTAGTGATGCTGGCTGGATCTGATGGAAGTTGGCGTCCCATAACATCCCGAGGGCACCACATTGGAGTAGAAAATGAAACAGGAGGGAATGGACCATTTTGCAGCGGGTGCAAAATGGCAGCCTGCATACCTTAATGTCTGTTGCACAGGCATTTACCACAGGTTGCCCCTTATGGGAAATATGCATCCCATCCCTACTTTGAACGCTGAAGAATTACTATTCTAGCAACTCACATAAACATTCAAAAAAGGCATCTGCAAAAGGTAAAAAATTATCAAAATAGAGGCAGTCATTAACCATGGATATGGACAAGAAAACAGACTACCTTTAACCAGGGTAATTTTTTATCAACAACCTCTAGAGGTGCCAGAATTGCGTACCCTTGAGAACCACCTGGAAAAAAGCACTGCCCTTAACAAGCAAGGATAATTGGGGTGTATGAACTTCTCCTTATCCAATATTATTCTACCATCTGCTAACATGACTTATTGGGCTCTCCTGCTTTGGCCAGTTAGGTGTTTCACTGCCTTGAACGGTGCCTTGTATGCATTATACCTGCAGGAGGAATCACACCCTTCCAAAAGGAAGAAGAGAAATCTGGCAGCCAATGGAAAATGTTTAGCTGTCAGCCTCCTACGCTTGGCCACCACGGAGCAATGGCAGCTGTGCCCCTTTGAAGGCTACCTTGTCTTTTAAGAATCCCAATGGCAGTGGGATGCAAGAGAGCACCACAATTTCCATCCCACTACAGGAAGAGAAAGATCAAGCAGGTTAACAGAGCTAGAGCAACGAAAAGTCTTGTGGCACTTTCAGACACTTTGAGACATCTCAGTCTCCTATTGAGACAATTCCCACCCCCACCCCCTGGAAATTGTCACAATAGGAGACAGAGATGTCTCAAAGGACTGTGCGTCACTTGTGCTGGGAATACCACCAGATGTTGAGCTTTTAGGTATGCTCCCAAGCCAAGCCATATTTTCATAGCTAGTCTCAATGAATAGGGATTTTCACCTTCTCACTTGTACACAGATATTCAGAAGCATTTGCCAGGCTGAGGAGGAGGAAGCCTACTGTGGAGAAAAGAAGCCAGTATAGCTTTTGCAGCAGAACATTTGGTGCGTCTGCTCAAAAGAAAAGTACCTCAGAGTTCAATGTTTACTCCCAATCAGCTGAATGGATACAGGCAGCTGCCCACAGACCACTTATTATTTTGGACCTTCCCTTAGGCAAACAATGTTCATTTCCCCCTTTACTTGTAAGACACCTTGCCAGTTCAGAGGTGGCCTCCTGGCGTCCATGGCACTCTCCCCACTTCTGCAAAAACCACAGGCTTTTAAACTACTTACTTGGGCTGCTTGATCGGGGACCCTTTGCTCGGGGAGCTTCTGCTTGGCGAGCCTTTGCCCACCCCTTTGAACATCTCGTCGGCGGCTGAAGCTCCCCTCTCTCTCGCTGTCTGGAAGGCTGTTGAAGAAAGGGGTGGGTGCGTTCCAGCAGCTGCCTCTGCCTGAGGTTGTCTGTGGAGATGGTATGACAGGAGAGGATGAGAAAGTCTGCAGATTGTTAAAAGCAGAACCTGGGTGGCTCCTCCCTGAGCTGCAGGTGATTAAGAGACGAGATGGAAACTTGCCTTAAAAAAAAAAAAAAGGACTAGAAAAACCAGTTTAGGACTGAATGAGTAAAAAAAAAGCCCAGAGGGAAGGAGTGGGAGACCCCACCCTGGTACTCTGAAGAATGTGCTTCTGTACAAGCAGAGGCAGACCCAGTTCTATTCACACCATTTCTGACAGACATTTCGTACACTGCAATTCCCTACCCTAAATGCAATCTACATCTGGGAAATAACATGTGTGCCCGTAGTTACTACATCAAAAGTAGCTTTGCTCATTGCTAGCACACAGGATCAGGCGGTCCATCTGTGCGGTTGCTGTCCAACCCATGCTGCACCCTCACTATTTAGATCTACCACTGATTCCTTTCGACAAAAGGAAAATTTCCCAATTAATTCCTAAAGAAAAAAGATGTCCTTTTGCACCACGTTAAGTTCAAATCCCCTCCACCCGCCCATGGAACTTGTTGGGTGATCCTGGACAAGTCACTATCTCTCAGCCTGGCCTACTTTACCGGGTTATTGTGGAAAATTATTTATTTAAATCATTCATTATTCAACAGAACACATGTCCCACTTGCCTGTAAATAAAGAGTGGTATTCCACTAAGATTTAATCAGAGCAGACCCAGTTAAATTAAGGGTTTGGTCTATTCATTTCAGTAGGTCTACTCTGAATAAAACTTAGCCAACCATGACTCAAAACCTCCAACAAAACCAACAAACAAAATTGTCAACAAAAGGCAAAATTAAACATAATAGAAATTCAACATATGATTAACATCAACAGTTAGGGTAAAACCAGATGTAAAATACATGTCGACTTCTATACATGTCTTGATGGGTTTGCCAAATAAAAATGCTTTTAGCAGGTGCTGAAAGGGTGCTGTGATGTCAATAGGCAGTGCAGGAACTGGGTCTTTAGGGTTTTGCCACCTACTTTTCAAATCCCCCTTCAATATTAGAAAGGTGGCGTGTCTGTTGTCTTTTGGATGTCTACTGAAAACCTTCCTCTTTCAAAATGCCTTTCAAATTGAGATCCTTACCAGTCTACATCCGTATTGGAATTGCTTTTAATATGTTTTTTATTGCTTTGTCACCTGTTCTTTGCCACCCTGGGCTTCTTTGTGAGGAAGGGCAGGATACACACTTAAGAAGGAAGGAATGAATGAAATAAATATTCAATTACACTTTCCAGTCCTTTCCCATAGATAACCAGAGCAATCACTACAACGCCATGTTGCTTTTGCCGTAAATCTCTTGATCGGCTCTCAACTTCCTCCCCCTCCGCATAGTTGCACCGAAATAAACGTTTGTTGGCACTTTACATACAATGTTGTATATACTGAAGGGTGAAGTAGCTCCATGTTAGAGCTTACCTCAGGTTCCTCTCTGCAAGGTATGTGAGCAAACCCCCTGTGGTTATTTGTTTCCTCTTTCCAGCTGGATCACGTCCAGCCAAGATTGGCACAAGAAATATTTTCTTAAGCACCTTTTCAGCTTTGGCCGTCAAATATGCCTGTGATATGGCTGATGTGGGCGTGCAGGAAAATTGCAACTCATCTCAGACCATGAATTCAAAACATGCCAAGCATCTGAGTTGAAAGGTGCCCTGCTTGCCAAAAACCAAAACACACACGAAGGTGTGGCTTTCATTGAAGAGCAATGATTTCTTTGTGAAGTTGCAAGAAACCATTTTCTGGCTCAAGACTAGAGGGCTGAGAATAGGCTGAAGTAGCACTAGTGTGCTGGCTTTGATCTAAGCGCCAAATTAAAAATTTAAAAACAAAAACCTTTTATTGCTTGGAGAAAGAAATTTGAGCATCCTGCTGACTTCTAGCTGTGAAAGAGGACCGCCCTGACGCATTCAGCACTTCTTTAGTGACTGTCTTCATGTGCTTGGAAATAATCCAGGAGGGAGATGGTGCTGGACTGTTTTGGGCCCTTCCTTGTATTATTAGTCAGGCACAAATTGCTTGAAGCAAGGAGAGACGCTCAAAAGCCATTTGTGCTCAGTGTCTCAGGCATGGGTTTAAAACCTTTCACATTAGCACAGACTCAAAGAGTAAGGGGTTCAGTCTAAGATAATGGTGACATGGATTTGGGTTTTCTAAAACTTCAATGTGCTGGAAACTCATTGAGAAAGAAAGGGAATGAAGTTCTGTATCATCATGCCCTCTGTCCTCACTCTTCTCTTTATCATCTGGGCCTGACAATATAAGGACAGAAGGTGGCATGAGGGAATGAAATTATATGCAGCACCCCTTGAGGTTTATAGCATAATCATTCCAATTCTCATATCAATATGGCATAGGGTAGAGTAAGATCAAAGCCAGACTTGATTGTGTCATGTGTTGTGTAACATATCCATGGTTCCCCCCCGCCCCTGATTTTTCAGAGCAATTTTAACTGGCCTACTCAAATTTGTGATGTTGTTTTCATTCTGATTATATTGTGGTTGTTGCCTTAATGCACTGACTAGTCTAATGTTATTGGTTGCTTTCAAAGTTTGAATTATGCCCTTTCATATTGTCATTGCATGATGGCTTAATTAGTGCTTGCTGTCTTGCGATAACATATTCCTGAGAGCCCGAATATAAAATGAAAATGAAATACCGTAGATACGCAATAGTAGGTGAATGAGCTTGACCCTAACAATTCATTCAGCCTCTTTTCACTGAAAGTCCAACAGATGCTTCTGCAAGAAGCACACAAGAAGCAACATGATAACTAATAAATGGCCCATTCATTCCTTTCATTCCAGTGCATTCTGGGACTCAGAAAGTCCCTGCCACATAGCACCCTTTAAAGGTTATTTTCAAAGGCAAGGCAGGTATTCTGAAGACGGAGTCAGGACAACTAGTTGAACTGGCTCAGCTGCAATGTCAGTAACTTTCTATGCACACTGGGCAGAAACCGTTGTAAACAGTACTGGTTTGGCAGGACCTGAGCTAAAATAAGTCTCGGGGTGCTACAAATAAACCCTCTAGGGCATCCACTGAGTACAACAGTGAAAGGTACAGAGAGAGAAGAGTGAAAGAATTCCAGAATTCTTGGTTGTTTTTATTTCTCTCAGGCAAAGATCAAAAAATGTTTGTAGCTGGGATAGGACAGTGGAGAAGTCTTGCAATGGCTAGCAGGCATGGCATGATGTGGAAGCATCAGGATCACAATAAAGTGTGCCAGCAAAACATCAGATAGAGACTGAACCTGCCTGAAGTGGTGATGGCATCAGCAGCAGAGTTACTTTGAATGACATTCTAACTAGCCGCAAAGAACCCAAGAGGTACTGCAATAGTTTGCAAAAGTAGTTCAGATGTTCCTTCACACAAATACGAAGACTTGCCATCAAGCATTCTTGTGTGCCCTTACCTGCTACTGCCCAGGATGCTTTGTACATCTGGACAGGACATCACAGAACCTGGTAGGTCCAATGGCCGTGGGAAAGTTCTGAAATGAAAATCACGAGAAAAGAAGTTCAGACATCAATGCTATGGGTGAACTCTGGCTAGTAAAGGTAAAGGGACCCCTGAGCATTAGGTTCAGTCGTTGCCGACTCTGGGGTTGCGGTGCTCATCTCACTTTATTGGCTGTGGGAGCTGGGTCATGTGGCCAGATGACTAAGCCGCTTCTGGTGAACCAGAGCAGTGCACGGAAATGCTGTTTACCTTCCCACCCAGAGTGGTACCTACTTATTTACTTGCACTTTGACGTGCTTTCGAACTGCTAGGTTGGCAGGAGCAGGGACCGAGCAACGGGAGCTCACGCCGTTGTGCGGATTCGAACCGCTGACCTTCTGATCGGCAAGACCTAGGCTCTGTGGTTTAACCCACAGCACCACCCGCGTCCCTGTGAACTCTGGCTATCATGAGCTAAAAGGCAATATAGCAAAGATGTATGTTTTCAGCTTCAAATATCATCATCTAAATAGGGACAAGGTGCGGGCAAGGACATGAGTATGGATGGTAGGCAGGCAAAGAGTGCTATAGTAAAAGTATAAATGCTCTGCTGGATCAGGGTAAAGGCCTATTTAATGCTATGTTCTGTTACCACAGTGGCCAACCAGATGCCTGTGGAAAACCCACAAGCAGGGAGGGAGGATAAATTCAATTCAGTAGCCATTTAAAGCTGAATCTATCTTGTTTCAAAATTTGCACTTCTGTAAATTTTGCAGTGCAGTTCTCCAACCAAGCAATGTTCACAAAATGCAGATATTAGGGGAAAGTGTGCATAAAAATGAATACATTTGTAAAAAATAACTTACAGACATGCTTTATATTAGGAAAGGTTGCTTGCAAAAATGTGTACATTAGGAAAAGTTTCATGGTGTGTGTGTGTGTGTGTGTGTGTGTGTGTGTGTGTGTGTGCTTAGTACAAATGGCTGCAAAATGTGGAGAACTGAAATCAAGAATGGAAAAATGAGAAATGAAAACCAAAATTGGAAGATCCTTAACCACAAGACATGAGCACAATAATATTCTCCCACAACAATATTCTCCCACTAAAATTCTCAGCAAGGTTTATTTCAGCAGGTCTACTCCGAATGGTTGGATTCAACTATATTTTTTTTGTTTGGTTTGGTTGGTTTAGTTGTAATACAACACTTTTTCAGAATTGGTCTATTATTTCTACAGCATTACAAAGCTGTGTTAGGAGGTCCCCTCCTTAGCTTTGGTATTTCCATAAATATCGACACTCTCTTATCTGCTTTGTTTTTCCTTATGTCAGGCAGTGCACACACACAAAAATAATACTTCTTATTGATTCCATGATTCCTTTCTCAAACAGGCTTTTCTGTGTTATTTTGAATGCATATAGCAACCAGCAATGTATGACCAGAGTCACAGGGGCACCTAATGTTTATTTTATTGGCCGAGCTGTTTAGTATGTGATCAAACATGCCTTTCAGTCTGGTTGTCAAAAGAAAGAAAAGACTTACAGCTGAAAAGTTTGTGTGTGTGTGTGTGTGTGTGTGTGTGTAAATACTATACAAAGTACTGGGAGTGAGCCAGTAGGAATGCTCTGGAAATAATAGGCACAATTCATCCAAATTTAAATGGATTTCTTTCAATGGAAGAGATTTAAACACATTCTTAATGGGGCATGAAAGCATCTAACAACTTAAGCTATTAGAGAGTCTGGGAATGGGAGCTTTTCTGTGCTGCCCCAATTTGTGACAATCTGGACTTTTTACATGGTTAATTCCCGTAGATCATGACATCAGAGCAGTTGGCATAACTTGATATAAAAGGAGATCCCTGTTATGAACTATCCTTACCCTGGTACTTAGTCCTTACTTCAAACGTGACCTGGGAGGTATGAGTAAATATTCTGACTTCCCAGTACTTACTGTAAAGACCAGCACATTAATCCTGTGTTGCCAGCAAAGATTAATTATCACCTCCTACAAGAAAGAATTGGGTTCTGCATAGACAATGACATCTTCCTCCAAAGGTAAGGTAAATGATTCAGGAAACCAGTTAGTCATCTTTAGCTAAGGTCATGTCCCTTCAACTTCAAACTTAGCAAAGTAAATGGAATAAAAGACAGGAACTTGTAGGAAATAAATAGTACAAAGGAATAAATCTCTAATAAGATTCAAACATCCAGAAAGACCCGTTCCCCCTCCATAGAGAATAATTGACCCCCAAACTCCAGATTTTCAATAGTTGGGTAGCTCACAAACTCCAATAGGACTCCATCTTTGCTCCTCAACTTTCTTGAGGATCAGCCCTTGCTGAACATGGACCAAAGGAATGGGAGAGATCTTTCAGTTGTCTGGCAGGTGTTTGCCTGCATATATTCTTGAGAGTAATATACAAAAATGTACTATACAGTGGTACCTCCGGTTACGAACTTAATTCGTTCTGAAGGTCCATTCTTAAGTCGAAATCGTTCTTAACCTGAGGCATGCTTTTGCTAACGGGGCCTCCCGCTGCGCACATGCCTCTGGCGCGCAACTTCTGCTCACATCCCAGGGCAAAGTTTGCTTCCTGGAGCACCTACTTCCGGGTTAGCGGAGCTTGTTACCAGAAGCGTTCGCAAGGAGGACGGTACGTAACCAGAGGTTCCACTGTATTAAGGAAGATAGCATCTTTCTGGCTCCATCGCATTGTGCATTTGCCTTATGGGTTGCCATTCTTGCTTTAATGCCTCACTAACTCTAGGCAGACCCTCCCTTTTCAAAGATTTGCCCTGCCTGAAAAAACAAAGCGAAGGCACAGATGTTCATGGAAGCAGAAAAAAGAATATTAGATGTGCTCTACAAGTTATTCCTTAGTCTCGGTGCCTCAGATCTGAAGAGCCAAGCCAAGCCTTCTTGCCTGTGTTCAAAGTCATAGGCATAATCTCACCTCCTGCTGAACCAGGTGGCACACAGCTTATTCCTAGGGGCAAAACATCAACTAATCAACACCACACCCACCTTTGGAGCCACAGCAGGTTATGGAAGGAAGCACTGGCAGTTGCTACAACACCAAGATGGAGGTCTCCACATCTCCTTTCAATTCCTATTCCTATTCCAACTCAGGAACAGAATCCCTTTTTGTAAAGCCGCAACATCAGGACAGATCTCTCTCCTGCCTGTTGAAACTTCAGGCTTCACACAGGTATTGGTGAGGTAACTCCAATATTAATAGGGCTGCATACAGCTCAGTGGCAGGGATCTCAATGCAGGCCTGCAGCAGGCTTTATTACAAGCAGAGAGAAGAGATGGAGGCTAGGCTGTGCTCAAAGAGATCGTACACAGCTAAGCCACAGTATCTGAATAAGACACTGTTTGGAAGACTGGCAGAAGCTTTACAGAGTTAGTCTAACCTCCACCTCCTCTCTCTCGTATATGCTTTTGTGAGGGGCATGCAAAGACTCTGGATTGTCACTACACTACAATGTACACCTGTAAAAAAATTATACAGTAGGTGAGAATACTTTCACAATACTCAGTACTGTGGCACAGGTTTTACTTGTGCTTCTCTTTCAGGCCAGGATGAATATGACACTGGAGAAAATGTAACATACACACTAGTTGTTGTATGTCAAATAAATGAGAAGAATGTACTTTGGCATTTTCACCTAACAGCCTTTATCCTGAATTGCCCTCCAAAATATCCAGAGAAGGGAGAAGGCATTTACATAATATTTTTATTGTTTAAAGGGCAACACAGAGTGAGAGTCGCTAATGGACAAGTCATGCAAAACAGGATGACCAGTTATGATGCATTCCAGCTGTGGCTGTAAATATTTTCAGCCTGAAGAACCCCTTGAGAAACATGTCTTACTTCACATTGATACGCAAATGGGGTTAAGGACTGATAACATAACCACTTTTTCAGCTCTGGCTCAACTTGCTGGACTTCAGCATTCTGACTTATTTTATTTGATGCTTTGTTAAATTCTTTTTTTTTTCTTCAAGCAGCAAATATTCCAGCACTGTTTCTACAGTTGCTCCATGCCATATTAAATTATACTTCATCTTTACTTCTGTAGTCATGGCTTTTAACTCATGAATTTTGAGAGCTAGAAATCCTCGACTCACTGCTCTTGGATCACTACGGTCTTCCGTACTGCACAAAATACTTTGCAAGACATTGGAGGGGCGGAGGTTTGGAAATGTGTGTGCAGTGACCAAATGGTTAGGACATAACTCCCATTCCTGAATGCTGACTCAGTTTCAAACTGGGTGGCCAATGGCCAGCCTATCTGTAGACGTAGGCATGTCTGGCAATTTTGGTTTCACTCAGTTTTTGAGATTTCCAATCTTGCCACTTTTCCTGCCACCAGTTAGAAATGGTTTGAAAAGTTTTAATGAAAATCCACCAACATTAATTTATATATTTAAAAGCATTTTTAAAAAGGTAATGGTAAAGGACCCCTGACAGTTAAGTCCAGTCGCAAATGACTCTGGGGTTGCAGCGCTCATCTCACTTTACTGGCCGAGGGAGCTGACGTTTGTCTGCAGACAGTTTTTTTTGGGGTCATATGGCCAGCATGACTAAGCCGCTTCTGGCGAAACCAGAGCAGTGCACGGAAACTCCGTTTACCTTCCCACCGGAATGATACCTATTTATCTACTTGCATTTTGATGTGCTTTCGAACTGCTAGGTTGGCAGGAGCTGGGATTGAACAATGGGAGCTCACCCCGTCACGGGGATTCAAACCACCAAACCTCCGGTCAGCAAGCCCAAGGCTCAGTGGTTTACACCACAGCACCACCCGTGTCTCTTAAAAAACATTTATATACCACTTAATATTTCAAAAATCTCTAAGCGGTGTACAGCCTATTCCCCCCCTTTATAGTATTTCCCTTTATAGTATTAAAACAAAAGTGACCTAAAGTCAGTGAAACATCAACCAAAACACAAGACGCATATAAAAGTGAATAAAACAGCCACTACCAGGTCACTTGCCTGATCTAAGGTGGGTTACATATTAGCACTACCACCATAAGAATATATGATAAATAAAATTAACAGAGTCCCCAATTGCATGTTTGAGTTAAAGGTGAGTCTGTATCTGAATGCATTGGAGACTGCTTCACTAGACCATATCCTCTCTGCCACATACCCCACCACCAGAAACTCAGGATGCCTTTTTACTTGTGCTGATTTTCAACATGAATATTTTAAGAGCGAGTGCTGCTGTCCTAAGACTCTCAGGAGAGAGAGAAAACAGCACAGAGAAACACTTTGCATTAAGAATAATGTTTGCAACGGGGAGAAGAGGAAAGCTATATCCAAACAGATTTGTCGGATGAAATTTAAGTAGCAGAATTAGAACCTGCTGTTCAAGTTTTAAATCTTCCTTTGTCTGCATATCCAAAGAACAGACAAAAGAGCTCCATTTCAGTTCTGCAGAAGCAGAGAAAGAAATAAGTTGTTGATTTGAACAAATTCCAAGTATACAGAATTGTATGGAAGGAACAAACAAAAGTCTCTAGGACAGCCTTACCCAACCTGGCGCCCCCTGGATATCTTGGAATATACAGTATTTTTTGCTCTATAAGACGCACCTGACCATAAGATGCACCTAGTTTTTAGAGGAGGAAAACAAAACAAAACAAAACAAAAAAATATTCTGAACGAAACAGTGGATGTATGATTTTTGTGATTTGACGGTGAGCTTGGGGTAGTCTTGGGAGTGTTCCCTTGATTTACACACACCTTCAGCTGAAAATGTTATTCTGTTGGGCTCCAAAGCTGCCATTAACTTTTCCCCGATTTTTATGGTTATTGTTTTTATCATTGCATATGGATTTGATGTTTTTATTGTGTTTTATTATGTATTGTGGTGGTTTTTTAATTGAGCCCTGCCTTGGAATTACATTGTAATGAAAAGCATGTCAGAAATGCTTTATATCTTTGAGTGGATATTTTGAATATTTTTTCTACTTTTGCTGACAGACAAAGAATCAGAAGTTTTCTCCTCACTCTCATTGTCATTTCTCTCTCTTTCCCTTTTCCCTTGTTTGTGTTTTTATTTAGATTAGCTTCTTTTACCTTTGATATTCTAAATATATATTGGGTATTTCATACTAACTTTCATTTTTTCCCCTTCAAACTTTAATAAAATCTATGGGTGGGGGAAATGCTTTAAATACATCAAAAATAAAGCATACTGAAGACATCGGATTGAGAAAGACTGCTGACCTGGGAGCTTCCTTGATGTCTGGGATCTGTTTTTTACCACTAAACCAGAAGAATAGAAGAGCTCTCACTTCCAAACCAGAAATAACATGGAACATTCATGGATTTGACGCCCTGAAAGAGCAGATGGCAAATATAACATGTAACTTCTTCCATGGAGATGGGATTCTTTATCCCTAAGAGACGTAACACATGAATCAGATTATAGCTAGGGCCAGATGTAGTCTTTGCTATATATATTTTAATCTGCTCTCAGGGATTCCGAACATTGCAGCAAGCAACTAATTTCTGCAAGCCGATTAAACAACACAAATTATGCACAGTCCGTGTCGTTTTGTTGTTGTTGCATACTTTGTTTTGAAATGTTTACAGTGGTACCTCGGGTTACAGACGCTTCAGGTTAGAGACTCCGCTAACCCAGAAATAGTACCTCGGGTTAAGAACTTTGCTTCAGGATGAGAACAGAAATCATGCTCCGACGGCGCGGCGGCAGCGGGAGGCCCCATTAGCTAAAGTGGTGCTTCAGGTTAAGAACAGTTTCAGGTTAAGAACGGACCTCAGGAACGAATTAAGTTCTTAACCCGAGGTACTAACTGTACTAATTTGCATAATTTATTCTGCTTTTGCTAGGCATTGCAAACATATCAAGAGTTCAAAAGTCCTTTTAAAAAGAAGGAAAGTCAAGAAGTGCCAGAAAACAATCAGGAATCTGAATGCTATGCTCAGTAACTACATTCTCTGCTCCCATGACACCACAGCATGCAAATTCTGCTCCTCCATGTGTCACAAAAGCAGAAAGCTGAGAGTTAACCAGAGTGCATAATATGAGAGGTGCCTTGAGACTTGGAAATCAGTTTAGTAACAAGCCCTGATGGCTCCTGAGTAGACCTATATATTAAATAAGACTAGCCAAGGACATTAGATGTGGGGAAGATTTCATCCTCTCCTGAACACTAGGATAGAAAAAACTATCCCTCCAAATACAAAGACATCGATACTCCTTATAAAGGATTCTTGTGTCTTCCCAAGCTAGGAATCCATGTGTGACTGTGGTAAAGCTTGTAAACTCATAAAGTCATAACATCTCATAAAAAAATCAAAGAGGCCAGAGGCTTTCTCAGACTTTCCACTGGGTGTCCCATTTGCAGTGTGTATTGTTTTGTTAAGTTCACGAGAGCTTGAAATGGCAAGGGAGGGCCTGGGAAAGGCAAATTCAAACCAGTTCCACTGTACCTCACCCCTATGCTTTTGTTCAGCATTGCAAAGAGGAAAAGAACACATGGGTCTGAAACCTAGACAGGGATGGGCAGAGAGCGCTCTGAAAGTCCACAATGCCTCCCATGAACACCCAGACCAAAGACTTGCACAAGAAGGTAGTGATGGAAATGGGTGTCCCTCTCCCTAACTTGGCCAAACACTTGGGAGACATGGGGATAGAAAGGAATACGCAAGAGTTGCAAGGAGAGAATGTTACCAAGAAAGCATGAAAATGTTAATACTTACCAACACCCCAACCTTTGTACACATTAGATCTTGAGCAGCAGTCACCGGCGCTGGCTCTACTTCCTCAAAGAACAGGCGTGGGAGTGGCAGAGAACAGCAGTATTGAACTTTCACTGATTTCTTTATAATCTGTATCAGCCTGGCACATGAAGGTAACTGAACGGCATCAGAAATATGTGAGGAGGGGCTGTGGCTCAGTAGTAAAGCACTTGCCTGCTCATCTGCCTATTCATGTCTGTTCATTTGCCTTTTCATTGCTATTATCCACAGTCATCTTAGTAAGTCCAAAGGAGAAGGAATATGGGGGGGGGGGAGTAGTAGAAGAGGAGTTTGGATTTGATATCCCGCTTTATCACTACCCGAAGGAGTCTCAAAGCGGCTAACATTCTCCTTTCCCTTCCTCCCCCACAACAAACACTCTGTGAGGTGAGTGGGGCTGAGAGACTTCAGAGAAGTGTGACTGGCCCAAGGTCACCCAGCAGCTGCATGTGGAGGAGCGGGGAATCCTGGTTCACCAGATTACGAGTCTACTGCTCTTAACCACTACCACCACACTGGCTCTCAGTACCCATTTTTCATCTTACTTTCGTGGAATCAGTGAAGTTGGAGTGGGCCTAGCTAGCCATCAAGCCCAACCCCTGCTCAGTGCAAAACCAAGACCCCAGAGCTAAAGCATCTCCAACAGATTCTAGGCCAGGGGCCAACAACATGGTGTCCTTGAGGTGTTGATGGACTCCCAACTCTCATCAGCCTCAGCCAACATGGCTGATGATCCCACACCCTTTTCGGGCAAGGTGCTTGAACATTTGGAAGCTGTACAAGTCCAGGCTCTCTTGGGAGAGGTGGATTATTTGGATCTATTTCAGGCTTTGTTCTCATGCCTTGGCCACTCTCACAGATGACTTCTGCTGGGAGACTGGCAGGAGGAATGTCACCCTGTTATTTCTCCTGTACCTCAGCAGCTTTTTGATACCACTGATCTCCTGGATAGGCTTTGCAGAAATGAGGCACCACTTCTAGAACTTCCTGCTCCTACCTGGAAGACCCCTCGGCTTTTGTGATATGGCATTTCGTAGAGCTCTATCTTGTTGCCCTACACTAGTTAACTATTAGAAGATTCACAAAACTGCTGAGTGAAGTCAACCAGGGATTTGGAGTGCTGTGCTTTCAGTATGCTGATAACATCTAACTCTACTAATTTAATGTAATCCAGGTAAGGCTGCCAAAATACTAAATGGAAGTCTGAGGCCAGTGAGAATCTGAAGCTCAATTTGATGGTTCAGAGCTGGTTTATCTGACCTGGACAGCAGTGTTCAGCCAGAATAGAATTAATCTGGCCCCGAAGGCTCAACGTTGCATTTCTGGGGGCAATGATTGATTCAGCTTTATCACAGGAAGTCCAAATGGCTTCCATGGCAAGTAGCACCTTCCACCAACTGAGACTGGTCAAGTGTCACATGAAACCAAGACAGCGAGCCTCTCCATGCTTTGGTAACATCCAGATTTCATTATATCAGCGTCTTTGAATGGAGACTTCAGTTATCCCAGAATGAAGAGTTGAATTCAAAAAGGTCATTGCATGAGAGAAACAACTTCCACCGCTTTAAAAAAATATGCTTCAGAAGGTTTGATGAACCCCCAGAGCAGATGTGGGGTGGGGAGCAGAGGAAGACTGACAGCACCAGCAGTCGTTCTGCTCTGTCAATAACCATTATAAACAACCCACAGTTGTTGGAATACTGGTGGAGAATAAGGCAAGTGTCATAAGGTCAAAAGAGCCACACTGGTTGTCAGCCTATTTCTAGGCATAATTCAACTCCATGATGAATTTCAAAGCCTTTATATGGCTTAGGACCTGGGCATCTCAAAACCACCTCCTCCCATGTTTCTGCCTACCTATTCATGTAATTATTAGAGGCCCTTCTCTACCGACCCCTGCCTTTTCATTCAGTTGTGGCACCCCGTTTATAGAATGCTTTGCCCAGGGAGGTCACAACATGGCACTGACAGATCTTGCAAGCAGCAGATGAAGGCCTTTTTATTTCCTGTTTACAGCAAATTGCTAGGTTGAATAACTATTAAGGCTTTTTTTTTTTTTGGTCATGCTGATAGCATCTACACCTAAGGCTGGGGCAAAAATCCTTTAATAACTTTTTAAACATCTTATTAAGAAACCCTCTAACTTTCCATTCTGACAGCTTTGGATTCACATCTGCTTTTAACAGATGTGTATCATTGTCCCATCAGGGGATTCTAGGGACAATGCCATTCATCAGCTTGCTCAGACGGTAGCGGTACCTTTTTACAGGTAGTAAATACGCCTCGTAACCCTGTCTCTAACCTGTACAACAGCTTAACTGCAAAAAGTGGCCATGCAACGGGGCAAGATTCTTGCCACCTTGTTCCTTATCCATATTAACAACTACTTTATGGCCAACTTTCAACCTGTTAAGTATCCAAGAGGTACTCTGAAGACCCATGAGGAAAGCTTGCATGACATACTCGAGGCAGCACTGACACCACAGCTGCCACTTGAAAGAGGGGCATATCCATTCATCCACATACCACCACTATTCAGTGTTACAAACTCTGTGACTGATGGAGAACTTTCTCCTTCCCATCTTTTTTCTCTTGTCTTTTATTCTTCCTTTTGCTCATCTTTTAAAGTCACGCATCTTTGGTTTATATTCTTGGCACGTATTATCAGTTCCTTTCTTCTCCTTGAAAGACTCCTTCCCTCCCACTTTTAATCCTGATCCTGCTTTTCTTCTGTTCAGTTAGCTCTATGACAGTAAGGGTAGCAGAGTGCTAACCTTTTGCCCAAGCTGGATGATATCAACACAATGGGACAAGCTTTGTTTAGTTTCTAATAAAGCACTTGGAACAGACAGACCAGCCATAGCTTTGTTATATACAGTTTTCACTTCAACTGCTGCTTTGTCTCCTTTTCTCTGGCTCTCGTTTCACCATTTAGATTGCATGGACCTGCTTGGTTCATTGTTGTGTACAGCAGCCTTTAAGACCTTTAAAAATAAATATTTCTTTTCACAATTAACGATGTTTAATTTTCTTGAGAGATATGTTCTTGCACAGAGGCTACTCTTCACACATATGGAGAGGGGGCAGTTTGATTTACATGAACAGTCACAAAACGCCATAAAAAACACAACAGTGTGTATATAGAAACCTTGAAAAGTTTTCCCTCTTTGGCCAGAAACTGTTCTGGGCCAACTTTGTACCATAGAAAAGCACTTTTACTTTGATAAACAGAGTTGCTGTTCATGCCTATAATTTTCCTGCTCTAGTTTTTCAAAAAACAAGGGGGGAAAGGTGTATTAGGATGGCACAAACCTGAGCTGGAAGTGGAACAGCTCTATGCCAAGCCAAAGGATAGCTAACTTGGTTATTTATTTTCTAAGCATATGCTTTTGCTACAATGACTTCATCAATGCAAGTGCTCAGTGAGCGAAACCAAGGTAAGTTAAGTATGGTGTTGAAAAATATTTCTGTTCTCAGCACTGCAGGAAGTACTCACCAGCAGATTGTATATGCACACACATATATTTTTTTCTGTTATGACAATTGGTTTTAAACAAATTAAGCGAATTGAGTTTGCATCAGGTCTGGGCAGAATTAATGGTCCAGGTAGAACACGAGCACAAACAATGGCAAAACACGTTTTTAAAAATGCAGATCTGGAGCATTTACAGTTTTTAATCTTTCTTAAAAGAGATGGGATACATTAAAGAGAAAAACACATAGAATATCAATTCATTCTTTTAACTCCTAACTGCAGTGTTCATACAGCTTTTGTAACAGTGAACAGATCTCTCATTTTAAACTGAATGCCCTGGAATGGCAGAGAGTGCCATTCTCTTATTCCGCTTTCAACTGTCGGGACATAATAACTACCCCAAGGTATTGTCTGGAGCTGGAGGTCCGCATCTGCTCTCTGGCTATCCTAATCAGATTTCTGATTTCAAATGATTCATTATTTGCTGACCTTTTAACTTAATTAAAGCAAAAACTTGTCAAAAGTTGTGACACAATACTCCACACATTATCATTGCCTCAGTTAACTGTGACATCTTTATTACTAGGTGTTGCTGACTTCATTATACAGGCCAACAACCTATGAAATGTTAGCTAGTAGGCTTGTGTTGTCCAATAGGCTTCCTGCTCTTAGGCGTGTGGAATCTGTGACCCTACAAATGTTGCTGGACTACAACTCCCATCCTCCCTGGCTGTTGGCTTTGCTGGTTGGGGCTGCTGAAAACCTGAGTCCAAGAGCATACGGAGGTCCACAGCTTCCCCATTTCTTAATTGAACAAACTGGGCTCCCGAGAACTAAGCTGCTCTTCATCACAACTGAGTCTTGCAACAATACTTCTCTGCATCTGTATTGTTTTTATTGCATCCTATCTTGCACTTATGCAGAAAACTGCAGAATCCCTCAGTGTTTTTCCTAAGTCAACATATTTTACTCCTAGATTGTTCTATTAACTTAAAAACTGTGACATTACATAGTACAGACATCACTAACAGCCAAATATTTCTAGCTCAACCAAATCATCCTGTTTACCTTTCTGATCAATACAAGAAACAGACAAAGGTGTTTAAATTTCAACCTGATATAATCAAGGCCTGGGGGGGGGGCGGACCTTTATCAGCCTAGGGCGTCGCTCGTTGGCAACCTTCTGGAGGCCAAATGCCAGCATTGGGTGGGGCCAGAGGCAAAAGGAGGCAGAAGAAGGGATGTGGCTCTTATCTTGGTACAGTAAGCTATAGCCAGTCAGGTTTCTGTGCACACATCTCTTCACCCAGGCAAGCAAGATGCATTATCACAGTTCAAGAACGTGGGTGTGGGGCAGCATCAGTGAGAGGTGTGGCCTTAGAGGGAATTGGAGCTACACTTGGCCCCAGGCAGCGATTCCCCACCCCTGAGCTAAGTGAAAGACATCGCCTATTTCTCGACCAACTAAGCCAACACTGAACCGCAATAAGCTACACAGAAAATCAAGGCTCTTATAGAATCACTTGTGAATTCTGATGGAATTTATGGTGTAGGTGACTAATAGTGAAACTAAGCAATATTCTTTTGAACCAAAGGAAACGGAAGCTGGTGATTCATACTGTTAAATACCACCACCAAATACTGCATTCCTGTTTCTTCATTGAGTGTGACATTAATTTTTGTTTGCTTTTGGGAAATATGCATTCTTTATTGTTATCAGTCAGCTCCCCAATCCACCTGCCTCTTACTATGGGAGACTCTATGCTGATAATCTGTTCGCAAGCATTCTATATAGATTTCCCCACCTCAGATATTCAAGAATTACTCAAATGTGCTTACCCACTCTACACTACTACCAGCCAACTGTGAGGATCTAGTATTCTATCACCAACAAATTGCTCCTGACTCAACTTTTAAGGCAGGCATAGGCAAACTCAGCCCTCCAGGTGTTTTGGGACTACAACTCGCATCATCCCTAGCTAACAGGACCAGTGGTCAGGGATGATGGGAGTTGTAGTCCCAAAACATCTGGAGGGCCAAGTTTGCCTATGCCTGTTTTAAGGCTACAACTTCAGATGCAAACTACCTGGTTTTTATAATTCACATAGCTTTAAAAAAGCCCACGTTTCTGTGTTCTCTTTTGATGATTTCGTAGTGCTTCACAGTATTCCTTTTACAATTCACAGATTCAGAGGGTAACACACTCTTAATCATTAAATGAAATCTATTTGTGATGCACAAACTGCCCTGAAACACTGCAGTGAGGCTCCCTGCTGCTCTTTAACAGACACCTGACCCAATCCAAGGGTTGTGGCCCATATGCTGGTGCCCATTATGAACAGCAGCTGCTTTGGTGGTAGCTACACCTGGATACAGGCCCTAACACATTGCTAAAGAACAGTTGAAGGGGAAGCCTTCAACAGACATGTGAGCAGCCGAAGCACAGTGGTTCCAACTCAATCATCCCATAGTTTGTCTGAACTATTTCAGCTGGCTCAAGATAGTATTACAGTGGGCCCTCGAGTTACGTACTGCTCTGGATACGTAATGTTTGGGTTGCAAACGCAGCAAACCTGGAAGTGTCCAGTTATGGACTTTTCGGGTTAAGTACAGACCCCCCGAACGAATTTAATTCATATCTGGAGGGTCCACTGTAGTGGGTACATGTATGTGTGGCAGGAAGCTTTTTTTCCCTTTTAAACCGCAGCAACAGTTTGAAATATTGCTTTTACTCTCCCCTAGAAATTTAGCTCCAACAATTGCAAAGGCAATTTTTCAACTTTCAAGTAAGGAATCAGCAAAGTGGAAGCTCAGCACCGATTTCAATAGTTTACAACTACACTTTTAGAAAGAAGGAATAAGTCCTTTATTGTTTCAGGATTTCACTTCTGTCTGACCAACATGCTTTGTTCCATAGCATGTTTCACAAAGGAAGTAGTCGCCATTTGTGACAGCAAACAAGGACAAAAGCAGAGGGAGTGGAATGTGTCCAGTTGCCCACAGGTGTGGGGTAGAACGCAAACAAAAAGAAAGTTTGGCTACATCTGTAAGAGGAGCAGAGTTCTCAGATTTAATTCAGATCTGAAAAAAGGACGACAGCAGAGCTTGAAGCAAAGTACAATCAACGAAACACTGATAGGCACATCCCCAGAAAGGAGATTGGACCCAGTCACTTGACAAAAGATCTCATTTCCATTTAACCTTCAATAGAACTAACAAATCATTGGCTTACTACTGCATCTCAATGTGAAATTTCATCTCTTGATAAAATTAAAAATATTACTTCCTTTTTCTTTTGCAATAGGTTTTCCCCCCCTATAAAACCCCCTTCCCATAGACAGATCAGAAAGACCATTTCTTTAAAACAGGTGGGGCACTCTTTTCATATGGTACATAAATCCAATAACATTGGTATAATTAAACCCAATTTATCTTTAATCTGAAAATTTTAATTCTCTGCAGCTTGCTGAGCGGCTGAAAAGCAGTTTTTGTTGAGTATTTCTATAACTGAACAATCCAGTTTCAAAACTGTTTCCAACAATGCCATGAAGAAACAGAGCTAAACTGGAGCACAGTATGACAAAATATAAACACGAAAATATGGCTAAGGACTCTCATCTCAAACTAATATTTCAGACTACCTAAGACCAGTAATATAGCTTGCAAAAAAGTCAAATATACAATTCAGGCTCACAAATATTTAGAATAATTGTGCCTATGCATTTTTTGGGGGTGGGGGTGGGGGAATGATATTGACATAAAGATACTTGGATTCCCACAGCACAGATAAATGCTCTCACAAAAAATGCACCATGAACACATGGCTAGAGATCTTTATTGCTTAAGATTTCATTGGCTCCACTTTTGATTCTTCACTAGTGGAATCCCTAAAACAACGAAATATAATGTCAGAAAGGAGGTAAAAGACAGAATAAGCAACAAAGCCACCCTCCCAATTTACCACTTTCAACTAAGTTGAAGAGGGAAACTGAAGAAGTGTCAGGAGTTTTTCAAGATATAAAATGATAGTAGCTTGTTCTTTCTGAAGCCGAAAGACTTTTTAGGTTCTAAGAAAGACCCTCTGAGAAACATATTCCTCTGTTCTGAGAAGTGGTGCCTCAATGTGGAAAGACTATACAATACGCTTTAAAGTGTATTCTTAAACAATCTCATTTTTACTTTATCTAGCCAGCTGTGGGTTTTTGCATACTTTGCTTAGACAGTCCAAATCTGAAGACATATATGTGCCTTTGGTTCCCCTCTGTTCTGTACTGTCCAGAGGGCTGGGTTAGCTTTTTAAAAATTAAAAGTACCATATCAGCTGTAAAACAAAATGATATGCCTAGCCCACACGAAGTGGGCATTATTCCTGCCTGAACTGATTGATAAATGTGATTTGAGACTCCAGCTCTTTCCTTCAGTTTCAAATGTTGGGAGACAGACCACATAATGCATGTTCTCAGGGTGGAAAGTTTCTAATAAAACAGGTGTGCAAACAAAGAGAATAGTGGGAAGTTATTAAAGACCTCCCATACAGATTTTAGACATAAGTAGTTAAGGTCTGAACCTGCTGGAGCCATCCCAAAACACAGGAAGAAAAGCGCTCTTCTTGAGAATGGCCCCGGTTAACTCCGGAATCCAAAGATGCCCTTGATATATCCTGTGAGACCACTCTTTGCTTTCTGCTCCACTTTGTCCTCCAGGGGTGGTAAAGTAACATGGTTGAGAGCCAGGTCAAAGAACAAAGGCTTGCATGGTATCGGTTGGAATTCTGGCGGGAAATGCACCAGACTGGCTTGCTTGCTGACAAGAGAAGGATCCAGGCAGAAAGTCTCAAACCGTTCAGAAAGTGGCTTGATATCAAAGGAAACAAAAATCTCAGATAAGATTAGTTGAAACAAAATTAGCTACCAAGTGAAGTCTAGCCTAACGGCCAGGCAGGAACCTATTATCTCCTTCCCCATCAGTTCTGACTTTGTGGGTAACATGTCCAAGGCAGTGAGGCAGGTACAGTAAGAATGGATATTTCAGATGTACTGCCATGGAAACCTCAGAGCCTTCTTTTAAACCAGTCCACAAGACAGTTCCTCTTCTAAGCCTGAAGAGGAAGTATTTTAAACTCTGCTAGAGAGGGTGTGTGCATGCATACTTACAGAAACCTGACAGCTTCTCAAAAATGAGTCAACTGTAGATAGAGTTGCACAAACTTGGTTAAGCGTTTAGACCTGTTCTACGCTCATTTTTCTTCTCTCTAAACAGCTTCTGAGCTGTCAGATTTCCTCCCAGATCTGGATGAAGGTCCTCATTATCATGCTAAATAGAGTTCAGGTGTAATGCCTGGGTGATTCTACAAAACTGAGCTGAAAAGTATTTTTATTCTTCATGGTCCAATGTCACGAAATTCAAAGCTGTTTATGGATGAGGAATGGATTTTCGCTTGCCCAATGGGACTTCCTCTTTCACTGTTCCTCGCTCCCCGTGCTAAAAAAAACACCAATCTGCCCTGGGAGGTTGGGGGACCTTCTGGGGCAGATCTGGGGTGTGTGGGAGCTGCAGAAGGGAGGAAGGGGAAGTCCCAGTCTATGAGCAGCAGAAATCTGCAATTAAATGTACTTGTAAGAATCTGTCTAATTTGTGTAACTAAAAGCATGCTTGTGCAAACCGCAACATGTGGTACGTTTGCTGATTATGCTGAAATAATCTATTTTCCATCTCACTAGCTACAAAAACTGTCTTACCTTGCCATCCTTGACCTGGGATGGTGATTCAATCTCATGGTTGTCACCTGCATCTGAAAGGTGCCACAAGAATATTTTAGGAAAATGCAGCTCCTAGCAATGCAACTACCTATAAAACACATCAATAGTATACAAGCATCTATTGTCACAGCTTTAAGAACATGTTCCTATTCTCTGTTGCAATTTGAGATTTATACGTAGTTGTCCTGTTTTATTTATTTATGTGTAATAGTGCCATCAATACTGCAGTCTGAAATTTGACCCAGGCGGTGGGGTGGCTGGTTGGGGACAGAAGGAACGAACGACTGCATGTTGACTTGAGTTACACCGGTTTCTTTTCAGTAGTGATTAAGAACTGTGAGTTGTGCTGAACAAGTCATAGAAAGGTTTGATGCCTTTGAAAGTGAGGATGAGGAATGCGTGCTGCATCTGGGAATGATCAGAAAGCCAGTGGAAGTATCAGAAAAGGTACCAGAGGGGAACAGTTTTGGTGATAAGAGTTCTAGATATATGTAGGCAAGAGGTGTCCACAGCATGAACCAGAATTTTTCTGGAGCAGAGAAAAGGCTACAATTTCACAATGCTGAAAAGGGAGAAGCAATCTATACAGAAGAAATGGAACCCACTCACCTAATATGGCAGCTGCTTGCAAGGAGTATTTTTCTGCATTCACTTGAGTGATCAGCTCTTGGACATCAGGCAGCTCCTAAATAATCAGGTCAATTATGTAAAACATCTTCCAGGTATTAAAAGTTTTATGCCATTAGCAAGTTTCAACCACTGTTCAAAAACTCCTCAGAGACAGATCACCCAGAGCAGCTTCAATCACAACAGACAAGGAAGCAAAGCATTTACTGTGCATATACAAATACAATCCACAGCAGCCATTACAACCCCACAGCCTGCATCCAGCAGTACCATTGAGATACATATATTCAGTATATTTTCTGCAAGAAGAGGAAAGTCTCTGGAAGTCACAGCTGCATTTGCGCACTGTACCGTAAGGTCTACAGAGCAAGAATTTACAAAAGCTAAACATCGTATTACTGCTCAGCAGTTAAAGAGCCAGTTAAAAATGTATACACATGGCCTCTAGCTAATTGCACGCGGTCTTTCAAGAGCTTTCACTGACAAAGTTGCTCCCTGCTGAATGGAGAGTGTCATACCTTTAAGCTGTTCTTATAAGTTCCAGCTTGGGCCTGGACTTCGTTGGCATATTTCAGAACTCGATCATACAAAACAAGGGCTTCACTCCACTTCTTCACTAGAACATATGACTGTGCAATGAAAAAACACCTAGTGGGACAGGAAGACAACATTGGGTGCATTCATATTCATGTTAAAAACAGTTCAAACAATAAAAAAGGATATAAAAAACAATTTAAAAGCAATTTAAAAGAAGCCCACTCTGCTGAGCAATTTCTTGTCTGCTTCTTGTTATCAATCAACTCAGTTCTCAGTATAATTGGTTTTCTGTTAGTCACAACAGGGCTGCTTCTGAATTAGCAGAAGAATGTTGCCTGAGGAAAGTGACTTCAAATTCAATCGGTGTTGAAATAATAACTATTTGCTTAAGTTTCTGTGCAAGAACTTTCTCTGGGCCTCTAACATTTATATGCTATAAGTTTGTATTTTCAATGTTTACTGCAATGAAATCACCAACACACTGTGGAATGGCACTGCAAGAAATCTTCTGGTACAGCTTACACAAGAGCTCACAGAACACCACTTATACTTTCTCCTTATACTTTCTTGGTTCTTAGGATCCATGCCTCTGTATTCAAATATTAGCTGTACTTTAGCTACAGGTAAACTGATCAAGTAACCTCCTTGTTTGCTTGAGAATTACCTGTAAGCTTTATACACCAGTGTCTTTATCCCAATTTCCTTTAGGTAGCCTTTATCTTCTTCCAGACCAGGAAGTTGTGGCAACTCTGCCAGATTCTTCAATGTTGAAGAGAATTAACAGAGGGGGGGGGGGAGAAACAGTTCTTGAATATAAATAGTATTTCATAAATCAGAAATGCAACTAGTGGTTTACAAATGAAGGTATCTTTTTTGTAAAACAGACTGTTGTTTTTAAAATAAAATGGTATATAAATCTTGTTAAAATAAAGTAATGATAATCTTTCACTAAAACTAATTAAGTATGGCTTGGTGTAAATGCACAGCTGTCTGGTTGTTTCGCTGCTGCACTGTATTGAAGTAAGCCACAGTTTGGCTTAATGTGCCATCCAAATGCGAGCTCACAATTTAGCTGTCTCCAGACTAACCATGAAGCATAATCGAGGTTCGTTCTTTGTTTATGGCTCATGGCTAGTCTGGAGAGAGCCAAATTACAAGGGTGGGTTTGGACAACATGTTAAGGTAAACGATGGCTTAGCTCAGCATGGTTAAACAGGAGCAAAACAACTGGGGAGAAACAAAGTCACCACCATCTTCTTCCCAGGAGCCCCCAACACTTGTGCCAAGTCACACTTTGGCTTAGAGTGATGTGTAAACCAAACCAGTAGTTTTCACAGGACGGTTGTTTGTTTCTTCAGTAAGAAACACAAACATATGAAATAACTGAATAAGGAAGCTACAGCATCACTCTTTTAAACACTAAAATTTTCTTAAACCCTTTCCACATGCTCCCTTTAAGAATAACCTGCAATTATCAGAATTATCTATGTACTAGCTGTAGTAAATGCTCTTATAGGAAAGTGACAAATGCGTCAAATTTAGTCTCCCTACAATGAAGCCACATTTTCCCCAAAGACTTGCATCTCAAAATACAGGAAAGACTATAAATATTTGGAATGCTGACCAGCTGGGACCGTGTGCTTGAGGTGGAGTCCTCTAGGGACAATGAACACAGCAAAGATGTACTTGCAGGAATGAACAGGCAGGAGAACAGACTCATTTTGAGACCATGAGGCTCTAGAATTTAAGCACTACTATAGGCTATACAGAATTTTCAGCAGAGGATTGTGATCTCTGGTTGCCGAATAATGCATTAGGATCTCCCTGCAGCTTTATAGCACTTGTGCTTTCTGATCCTGATTTGCGAACTTAGGAAAGGATTAAGAAATATAGAACCAGAAGACCTCCTCCCCCTCCATTGCTATTACCTGCAAGATGATGTCATAAAGGCGTATCAAATCCTGAGGCCGAGCTGTACGCTTGCCATCTTCCTCGGGCTGCTGCTGCTGAAGCAGCGCCTTCTGCAATGCCTTTGCCATACTCTCATTGCGCTTGATGGCTGTGGACAGCTTGATGTATGTCAGGTAACTAGAAAGCACGATTGAAGGAGTTTCGTTAAAGTCATTTCAAAAACACCTGGACATACCATAAAAGCTTAACAGGAAAAATGGGCAAGTGAACAAGATGACTGTCAAACCTTCCTAAAAAGTTTATTGAAGAGCTCTAGTCTGACCACCTTAAAGTTTTTCTCGTTGATATATTTGCAACAAAACAAACAAGTAGAACAGAGTTTGGAATATGTTTAACTTTGGCTTGTTTACAAACCCTTATTAGCAATGTTGGAATGTTTAAAGCGTTTATTATATTGCTGGATTTGAATGATCCACAGTCACAAGCCATTAAGAGCTTAAGAACTATTAAATAAATATTGAGGGTTTTCTCCAAGCGAGTTGTATGTCCCACACAAGCACTTCTCATGCAACATAGCTTCCCCTTCCCTCTTATCATTCTATGTGCTCCCTCAAATCTGTTATAGGGTCTCTCCAAACTTACAGAACAGATTTGGTGGGCTGCTTGGCAAGAGAAGGGGTGGGGAATTCCAATGTGCAAATGGGATGACTTCATAGGATACAACCCTAAATTAGTATCTAGAAGGAGTCTCACCTGTGCAGGTACTGGATATTAGTAACCTTTCCAGAATCCACTTCTGAAGAGTGTTCCCGCTGCTTCTGTTGGGAACAGAACAAAGCTATATTGTATTTATTTGGGGAGCACACAAGAGATAAAACAAAAACTCAAAGCCTGAGAGATACTGTACTGCAATTTATTACACTTCATAAAGAACCCTACAGGGTCTGTCACAATATGTTTTCTTCAAGCACTCAGTTAAAAGGTGATGCACAAGGACAATACTTTATCCTCACCTGATCTGGTTTCAGTTCTTCACGAACAGCTTGTATTGCATCACGACACTCACTCAGCAAGGATTCAAACAGCCGTTCTTTAGTTTCTTCTTCCTCTGCCTAAACAAAGAAGCACCACAGAAACATTGAAAATCCATTAGGCCGCTGCTACTTTTTCTGAAATCATAAAGGAGGTAAAAGCTCACACTAAGAATTCTAACAACTCAGAAATGCAATATCATGTGAAACTTTACAAACGTTACACTGCTTGCGGAACAAACTGTAGAAACTTGGCCCTGTGGCTAACATTCCTGAGATGTACAGTGGTACCCCGCAAGACGAATGCCTCGCAAGACGGAAAACCCGCAAGACGAAAGGGTTTTCTGTTTTGGAGGCGCTTCGCAAGACGAATTTCCCTATGGGCTTGCATCGCAAGACGAAAGCCCATAGGGAAATGCGGGCGGTCGGGAGCAAAGACTTTCGCCCACAGAGGACCTCTTCTGAAGGCCGGCGGGGGGCAAAAGTCTTTGCTCCCCCCCGCCTGCCTTCCCCCGCCTGCCCGGGGCGATCTTAAAATGCTGGGGGTCAGGAGCGAAGCGTTAGCTGCCGACCCCCAACATTTTAAAATCTCCCCCTGTCCCGGGGAGATTTTAAAATGCTGGGGGTCGGGAGCGAAGCGTTCGCTGCCGACCCCCAGCATTTTAAAATCTCCCCGTGTCCCGGGGAGGTTTTAAAATGCTGGGGGTCGGGAGCGAAGCGCTGCCGACCCCCTGCATTTTAAAATCTCCCCGTGTCCTGGGAAGGTTTTAAAATGCTGGGGGTCGGCCCGACCCCCAGCATTTTAAAATCTTCCCGGGACACGGGGAGATTTTAAAATGCAGGGGGTCGGCAGCGCTTCGCTCCCGACCCCCAGCATTTTAAAACGCTGTTCCGAAGGGGGGGTGGGGACACCTGCCCCAGCCGCCCCACTTCGGAAAGCTGTTCCGAAGTGGGGAGGGGGGGCGGGGACATCTGCCCCAACCGCCCCACTTCGGAAAGCTGTTCCGAAGCGGGGCGGGGGCGGGAACACCTTCTGAAGGCGGGCAGGGGGCGAAAGTCTTTGTCCCCCCTGCCTGCCTTCCCAGGGGCTTTTAAATCGCCCCGGACAGCGGAGAAGTCCTCCGCTGTCCGGGGCGATTTTAAAATGCCGCCCGCCAGCATTTTAAGATTGCCCCGGACAGCGGAGAAGTCCTCCGCTGTCCCAGGGTTTTTTAAAATGCTGGGGGTGGGAAGAAAAGCCCTTGTTCCCCCCCCCCCCAGCCTTCAGAAGAGGTCCGGGGACAGACTGTCCCCGGACCTGGTCTGAAGGCGGTTTCCCTAGGAACGCATTAATTGATTTTCAATGCATTCCTATGGGAAACCGTGCATCGCAAGACGAAAAAACCGCAAGACGAAGAGACTTGCGGAACGAATTAATTTCGTCTTGCGAGGCACCACTGTACTAGGGAAAGTAGTGTGACTATGTTCAAATCACTAAAAAAAAAAAAGGCCTTCTATAGTAGTTTCTCATAAAAACTGTTTGTAACTGTTTCATCAGTGCTGTACTGTATGAACTGAGCAAGAAAAACCAAGAGCCCACCAGGATCATTGTTATATGCTTAGATTGTCTAGTTCCAGACCACAATCTTCATAGACTACCAGACCAGAGAAACAGAACCTCGGCTGTCCCCATCCAGACAGAGATACAGCTGGATCATCAGCTGCAGGTGATGAAGGGCACTCCACACCATGAAGATTACTATTTATATAGTGCCATATGATAAAATATCAAGACCTCCAGATGAAGTAATGGGATCTAGAAGGACCCCACAAGCTGCATACCTGTTCCTTTGTGGTGTGAGACTCCACCCAAAACAGCTTGAACCCCACCCATCCAGTTTAAGGAACCACCCACTAACAGTATCAGCCTTTCCTAGATTAAGCTTCTGGAAGGCTAAAAGTTCCACTTCCTTGGTATACGGCCTGATTTGATTAGATCAGCATGTTTCAGAGCCATGGCTTGCGCATTGCAGGATTAGGGCTGCACTCCAGAAGCCAATTACTATCTAGTTTCATTCGCCTGAACAGCCCTTCAGAAAACCTCCCTAGCAGTTTTGGGATAGGTTTGGGCATAGTAGCTTTAATTGCTCATCCAACTAATGTTAACTGGATTAATAAACTTCAAAAATATGCTGCTTATTCTTCAGGTATATATAAAGGTGGTTTCTAAATATTAAGGAGGGACATTGGTTACTCTGAACCACCACCGAGACAAGCTAGACAAGTCTGACAGCATTCTCAGCAACACCCATGAAAGTATTTCAACTTCAGACATGCAAAGGGGAAACCAACTAGAATAATGATGAAGTAATAAAACGCCCAGCAGACAGAACAGAGCTTCAGGACTGGCTAGGGGAGAAGGCTGAAGTTAGTGTATTGATCACTAATGTTAAACATAGCTATGGACAAGCACTGGGTGCACTGCAACTGATAACAAGCTGCTTCAAGAAATAGATGTATCAGCAAAGGTTCTTAAAGAGCAGAAGTGAAGGAAAAATAGACTTGAACTGGATTAATAGCTTGAATAAGTAAATACTTGATTCAGAAGCATGGTTACAGTTTTACTTCTCTGCCTGATGAGACCCTGAAAGGATTTTCTTCATAATGTTCAGCATCTGCCTAACAACATTTGTATATATTGTTGTGGGTGTATCCATTTAGAGATTCCCTTGTAACTTGTACAAAAACAATTGTGAGAACTGGATATTTAACCAGGCTTTGGCTCGTAGGATTGCCTCTAAATAAGACTCATGTATGATCCACTCAACGAGGATTCCATAAATCTGCTTACTTCATGACAAGTAACAAGTGCTGTTCCTCCATTTGACATGCACCAATGAACCTTTGCTGGTGGGAAGCTAGAAGTACCTTCAGGGAAGAAAATGGAAATACACTTTTTCTCTTGAAAGTTGCCCTGCAGCGGCTTCGTACAAAAACCCAGCTGGAAAGGGGGAGGGGGAAGCCCTCCTTATTTCTTCTCCCATAGAGAAAAAATGTGGTATCTTTCCCTTCCCGTTCAGCTTCTGCAACTGGCAGCAACCATTTGCTACTGGCTCATTCCTCCATGAAGGAAAAGAAACAGTTTTGCATGTTAAGACTTTTGCAGAAGACAGCAGCAGTCCTGCAAATCCTAACAGGAAGGCAAACACTCCCTTTGTAATTCTACAACAGGCATGCCCAACTCCCAAGAGACTGCGATCTACTCCCAGTATAAAAACAAACAAACTGGCAGTGGCAGTGATCTATCCCTTGTCATTGGTCATTGGAGGGAGGAGGAGCGTGCGTGTGGTGGGTGGATTGCCCAGAACTGTTGAGCTTTTTTTAGGAGGGGAGTGCCCAGAGTGGTTGAGCTTTCTTGGGGGGAGGATTGCACAAAGTTAGTTTTGAAGCTTTTCCCCTGTAAATTTTTGTACAGTGGTACCTCGGGTTACATATGCTTCAGGTTACAGACGCTTCAGGTTACAGACTCCGCTAACCCAGAAATAGTACCTCGGGTTAAGTACTTTGCTTCAGGATGAGAACAGAAATCGTGCTCCGGCGCAAGGCGGCAGCAGGAGGCCCCATTAGCTAAAGTGGTGCTTTAGGTTAAGAACAGTTTCAGGTTAAGAACAGACCTCCGGAACAAATTAAGTACTTAACCCAAGGTACCGCTGTACACGATAAGGTTGCCATGATCTACCAGGATCAGCCAGGGGTCTACCAGTAGATGGCGATCTACTGGCTGGACATCCCTGTTCTACAAGAACAGGGGGAGGAGAGGCAGCGATCCATGGCTTGTACTTTTGCAAAATTTGCATAACAGAAGCCACCTCTTCTTTCTTCTCCACCCCTATTCTATGCAGAGGGAAAACATTTACTTTCCCTTCCTACTGGGCTTCGGCAAGATGCTACTTGCGCCTTCTGCAAAAGCCTAACACTTCTCAGAGTTCTCTGCACAAATAAGGTTTGGGGACAGGAGGGGCTGGTGGTGAACTCAATAAATGAGTTTGACGAGTAAGCCAAGACAAAATTTGGGGAGCGCTATGTACGTGCAAGTGTCTGCATATCAACATGTGATAATTCCAGAAGCCAATCTACGTGTACTCACTGACTTGGCGACATGCCTGATCATGACAATTATAGGTCAGAAAATACACATCACTTATATCCTCCCACATTCTTTTTGGCCAAGGTTCACTGGAAAATCGTGAGCTACACCACCTGCTGATCACACAGCTCTATTACACAACTTTTCTGGGCGTAAATCTGCACCGCCCCCAACACAAGTGGATGATGTACAGCTATCTAATTACACACAAGAATACAGGACTTTGACTACAGTAAAAATCGCAGTGACAGACTGCAGGGAGTTTATACTTACCTGAGCAATAGCTGCTTCAGTATCAGCCATCCCCAGCAGGAAGATCCTCACTTTGTCTATCTTCACTGGCACTGTTCTTCCCCTCCATTCTACCTCACTCATAGTGGCTGCCTGCTTTGCTCGGGTTTGGGTGATTAATGACTGCAAAACAGAGAAGCTACTATTTAGAAATGCAAATAGAAGGTTGTATTCCCCACAATATTTCACTTAGATCTGTGCAATAGCCATGACGACAGGCATAAATCCGCCCGTTTAAGTTGTAAAAAAATTAAACTGATAACACATTCATATTTTTTTTAATAAGCAGTCTGTCCTATCCCCTAAAGGCAAGTATCAGAAATTAAAATATTTAAAGTATTTTTTTTAAAAATGCTCCTAAAACCACTAAGGACTCTTCTGTTTATTATGCTTAGTCAGAAAATCCTTGCCTTCATAAAATTATCTAGATCTGGGCTGTCCATCATAAAGTCAGGGAGTTCTGATCTCTTAGAGGATCCCAGTGTTTTCCGCTGCACTTTTACTACACGCAGTACAAATGACTAAACCACCTTCAGTGATCATATGCATCTGGGATGCATACACATATATCTGCTTTGCTAGGTGGCTAGTTGAAGGAGGAGGAGAGGAACGTTCCAAGTCTTCCAGAACACAGCTAGGCATCTAAATATGTGATTCATTTTAACAGAACAAATAGCTTTCCATGTCTGCAGGACACACTAGATGGCAAGTTTTCTCTACAGCCCATCCAAATTTGACACTGCTGGTCTAAGTTCAGGCTTATGCCAACTTCTGCAAGAAAAGCTCTTTTAAAAAAAGAGAACAGATTACCTCAAGTTTTTCAGCAAGAAGCCCCTCAGTGCCTCCAGATCTCAGTCTCATTTGCATTAGCTCACTAATAGCAGACTGGTCACCTAAGAAACAAATAGCAGTGCACAATATGTGATCTAGCACATTTTGTTACATTGTGAGAAAACAATTCCAAGCCTCATGATTGTGAAGTAAATGTAAAGAACACAGGGAGCAAGATGTTACATTTGTGTCCTGAATATGTATGCACGAAACAGATATGCTGTAATGATAAACGCCAATTTGCAACAGTGGGCTGAGAAAGGCAACTCTGTAGTTACTGGCTATTTGGGGTTATTGGGTTGTTGTTTTTATTTTGATTGTATATATTGTGGTTTTCATGTTGATCGTTTCTGTGAACCGCCCTGAGAACTTCGGGTATAGGGCGGTATATAAATTCAATAAATAATAATAAATAATTCTCATAATAATATTTTCAGCCCATGCTAAAAGGAGATGCTGACTATGCACAAGGACCCCCAAATTTACAAACCTTCATTCTCAAAGGAAAGTTACCGTATTTTTTGCTCTATAAGACTCACTTTTTACCTCCTAAAAAGTAAGGGGAAATGTGTGTGCATCTTATGGAGCGAATGCAGGCTGCGCAGCTATCCCAGAAGCCAGAACAGCAAGAGGGACTGCTGCTTTCACTGCGCAGCGATCCCTCTTGCTGTTCTGGCTTCTGAGATTCAGAATATTTTTTTTCTTGTTTTCCTCCTCCAAAAACTAGATGTGTGTTGTGGTCTGGTGCGTCTTATAGAGCGAAAAATACGGTACATATTATTCAGTTGCAAGTAGTTTCATCTGTGGTAGAAGACAGAACATGGGGGGATTTCTCAAATCTTTCACATTAAAAGCTACCAATTTTTGATCTATAAAGGGGAAAAGTACTGCTGTTTCTGTGAGGAGAAAGCACATGGGGTGGTAATTTTCAGCAGGAAAAAAAATGCTGGAAAGAGAAGGGTAAGATCCTCCTCATTTGCAGCTTTAGCAGCTTCTTTGGGGAAAAACTGCAAGACATATGTACTCTGGACTTTATTTTAAATGACCAGGTTTTTGTCAAATATTTTCTGCCCCAAGATCAAAGAAAGTAATGGAAAAATTGGGGTATTAATCACTGCATAGAAGTAAAAAAAAAAAAAAAGCAAGCACCTAGATCCAACTCATAACCATTAAAGCCCAAGTTTGATTCTTGTTTTCTCAGCTTTCTGTGTTCTCCAGCACATTTTCAAGCTCTTTTTTGCAATTATGACAGACAGAACTATTCCAAATGAAAGCAGAAATTACCAAAACATCAAGCTGAGGGACAGTCTGGACTTTAAACGGTGCACCAAGCATATGCTCAAGTATGTATTACCCTTTCGATCTCTTTTGGCAGGTGAGCAAATGTAAACAGTACTAGCAGTCTTTTAAAATATTTTTCTTCTTGGTTTACTTACCAATATTATAAGCACAATAACGAATATTTGGGGAGATCTCCTCCACTCGCTGATTATATAGTATAGCCTGCTCATCCGTGAAAGCACTAGCCAGCTTTTCATATATGGTTCTGCAGCAGGAAGATAAAAACTTAATAGTTTCTATTGTACAACAATGAAAGTCCTTTCTCTTTAAAATAAATTAGTGTTACAGTACTGCTCTGTTCTTACAAAGGCCCTTTAACTTTATTATTATGCTGCTCAGTAGGACAACTACTCTGGGTCCAAAACTGATGGGGGAGGATTTATATTGGAACACAGAGGAGAATTTGCGTGGAAAAACATGTGATAGGATTAGTTTAACAGATTCATATTGACAAAGCAATAGGAAGGATGGGCAAACTCACTTGCATTTGTTGAATGCCTCCATTGCTGCTTTCCATTCCTGGCGCTCAAAGCGGAGCATACCTGTGAGGTATGCTGTATATGCCTGTAAATCAAGGAGGGGTGCCTATTAGTCGGTGCGATAGTACAGTCTCAGTCTACAGCCAGCAAGAATACAGCCAGCAGAGACTGGCAACTTGCCTGAACACTATTCTTTTCCCCAGTTGCCTAAGGTAAAGGTACCCCTGCCCTTACGGGCCAGTCTTGACAGACTCTAGGGTTGTGCGCTCATCTCACTCTAGAGGCCAGGAGCCAGCGCTGTCCGCAGACACTTCCGGGTCACGTGGCCAGCGTGACAAAGCTACTCTGGTGAGCCAGAGCCGCACACGGAAACGCCGTTTACCTTCCCGCTAGTAAGCGGTCCCTTGCACCCGGAGGTGCTTTCGAACTGCTAGGTTGGCAGGCGCTGGGACTGAGCAACGGGAGCGCACCCCGCAGCGGGGATTCGAACCACCGACCATGCAATCGGCAAGTCCTAGGCGCTGAGGTTTTACCCACAGCACCACCCGCATCCCACCCCAGTTGCCTACATTACCTCAAATACCACAACAGTAAACCTGGCATTCAGCCCTAACATTTACATCACTACATAACATCGTACAAGTTATACATTCATGTTTCGAATTCATGTTTTCAGAAACCTAACTCCAAGTGAAAGGGCTTTAGGAATTATGTGATGCTGTTTTGAAAGACACGTTACTAAGACTTGTGGTACTTACTGGCTAGTTGTTGCGCAAGTATTCATGCTACTCCACCACACAGAGGGTGTTCAGGTAAATGAAAGAACATGTGCACTATAATAAGTAAATCATTAAGCTGCCAGAGTCAAATAGCTGCCTGGGTGTGATAAGTCACAAATCAGCATATAGAAGGATTCTAGCATAGATAATATTTTTGGAACAAATTCCTAAAGGATGTGTTAATCAATTGCTATTAGCTCAGGCAGCTAAAAATGGAATGTACTGAGGAAGCCCGATTACCAGATGCTGAGAATCACTTGTAAGTTTCAGGTATTTTTAGACACAGTGCTAGACTAGGTAGAATTTTACCCTGACTCAGCACAGCAATTTTTTATTCTTTCTTGGGGTTTTTTCTGTGCTGTGCCGACAGTCAGTTTCCTATTCACTAAATACACAAGCGAGGCCCCAAACTCCCACCTCACTCTTCTTGGTTCTGCCTCAATCAAGGAATCCCAGGATTTGTAAAAATGAAAGTCCCATCCCCTGTAGGTTATAGCCCTGCGGGGGCTTAGTTTAACAAGAGGGCTGCATTCATTTCTGGGCAACCTTCCAGGGGCAGCATGCCAGGAGTTGGCAGCACCAGAGGCAAAAATGAGAAGAACAGCAAATGTGAATTTTACCTTTATGCAATAGGCTAGTTTATACACACACACACACACACACACACACCTCCCTATGCTTCACCCCCCAAAAGGAAGCAGCATTTATTAGAGTTCAAAGACTCTAACAAACACTGAAAGAAAGCAGGGCTCGTGCGAGATGTGACCTGGGGAGAATACCACAGGTGAAACAAAGAGACCCAAGTCCTTATCCCTGCTACTGTCTGACCATTCCCAGAAAAGGCTCATTTTATATATGGGAGTTCCCCTGGAAATATTAGGTAATGGTTGCTACATCAGAATATATACCGCAAAATGTTGCAGTGCACCTTAACCTCCTAGCAGGAGTGTTCCTGTTCAGGTTTCCAGCCAGCCAGCCTAACCCTCCTCCAATATAAGCTGCAAGGAGTTCAAGCAGAGTATCCCCTGGTTTTCTGTTCCAACTGACACTCAACATCCTGTGACTATAGAATAATCCTCACTGGAGTAGGGGATTTCTTTTTTAGGGGCAGAGATAATAATTGTTCCTTTGCACAAGCCAAAATTCTTGCACTGACAAAACATTCACTTAGCACTATATTGGATTCCACTCACCATCCTCAAATATATCACTCGTCAACCTTCCATCATATGTCCTTATATATGTAAATAACAGAGCCTGCTATTTCAAACAAGCATTTGCATCTCCTGACCTTTTTGCTGCATCTGCTATGGCATACTATAGTCCTTCAGTCCCAGGTAGACTACAGGAGGAAGCACTGGCTAAGCAGCATACATATTGGCCAGCTGGAAACATTCTATGGGCTGAACCCAACCAGACTCCTGTCTAGGATTAGCTGCTATCTGCTTTCTTTCCCCATTTTCTGTACTGGCTTTCAGATTAATGATCTGTCTCAGACTGTACAGACCACTATTCTGATTCAATGAAACTATGTTATTTAACTTGGGCTTAAAAAGTCGCTACAAATATACTGGACATTCCTAACCTAATCTCCACAGGAAGTTTTAACATTATTTACAATTCAGATTCATTTATCCAACAAGAAAAAAATGTCAGTTTATATCTTCTATGCTATAAAAGGGTTTTGAAAGTTAACAGTAACCTGAGCTTCCAGCTTGGTCTTGGCATCCACGCGGTTGCTTTCACACAGGCGCTCCAGCTCCTCAGCATGTTTTACTGCTTTGCGCAGGCGAGATAACAAGTGGAATCGTTTGCGAGGTTCTGTGTTGGCTTCCTGCTTAAGCTGCATAGCATAACTCCAGGCTCTCTCAGCATCCATCAGAATCAAGAGCAAGTATCTAGCGTAAGAAAAGTAAAGACAGCTTAAAAACCTATTCCAAACAAATTTCTTTCCTTTATTTCACTTGTGCAATAAAAACCCATGAAACAAGTTCTGCTGTGGTTAGGACAGATTTATCTACCCCATCACCTTTAAAGCCACGACTGCACATCCTGAAGACCATTCTCCTTAAATGTGTAGGGAAACTGCCTATTTTTTTAAAAAAAACCTGCTTTGTTGATGTCTAGTTGTTTTAGTTGTTAAATGTTATTGATATTCATACAAGTTGTATTCAATTTATTGTATTGGTATGTGTGTTTTTATTTAATTTTTTGTTACTATCTTATATCTCTTAAATGGGATATAAAGTCGTACCATGGTTTTCGAACAGTTTAGTTCCCGAATGTTTTGGTTCCTGAACATGGCAAACCCGGAAGTGACTGTTCCAGTTTGCGAACTATTTTTGGAAGCCGAACATCCAATGGGGCTTCTGTGACTTCTGATTGGCTGCAGGACCTTCCTGCAGTCAATCAGAAGCTGCGATTTGGTTTTTGAGCATTTTGGAAGTCAAATGGACTTCCGGAACAGATTCCGTTTGACTTCCAAGGTAGGATTATACATAGAATGAATGAATGAATGAATGAATGAATGAATGAAAGCCACAGTTTCGGATGTAGTGTAAAAACCTGGAGGTGGTACAGGTACCTTGAGCAAATTGTTTGAGGTTGGCTGTGGTCCGTTTTGGACTGTGCCATCCACACTGAACTTACTAGGCCCTATACTGCTCCTTGGACTAGCAATGATCAACACAGGAAGGGGGGTAGCTCCAAATTAGCTTGTGAACTTTTCATTCAAGTATGTGGAATCTTGATACTCAAATCCCATTTTATCTAGAAGTATCCCAACAGTTAACCCAACAAATCCGATCCCCTAACAAAGTAGAAAGAACAAAAAAAAATTCCTTCCAGTAGCACCTTAAAGACCAACTAAGTTAGTTCTTGGTATGAGCTTTTGTGTGCATGCACACTTCTATCTGAAGAAGTGTGCATGCACACGAAAGCTCATACCAAGAACTAACTTAGTTGGTCTTTAAGGTGCTACTGGAAGGAATTTTTTTTGTTTTGACTATGGCAGACCAACACGGCTACCTATCTGTAACTGAAAAGTAGAAAGAAACAAAGATGGCATTTTGCCCACCCACCCACAAATAAATTAGCATACAAATATGCAAATCGAAGTCTGGTAGTCAGGATACTGATTTCCAAGTCACTACATTTAAAGGGGAAAAAGATCAGTAATCCACTTCAAAACATTTTTATAATACTGAGCAGGGCTGCCTACCGTATTTTTTGCTCTATAAGACGCACCCAACCATGAGACGCACCTAGTTTTTAGAGGAGGAAAACAAGAAACAAGAAAGCAACGCAAAGCCTCTTGAGCGAAGAGGCAGGAGCGCCCCTGCTGCGCTCAAGAGGCTTTGTGTGGCTATCCCTGAAACCAGGAGAGCAAGAGGGATCGGTGCGCACCAATCCCTCTTGCTCTTCTGGCTTCAGCAACAGCTGCGCAGCCTGCATTTGCTCCCTAAGGCGCACACACATTTCCCCTTACTTTTTAGGAGGGGAAAAGTGCGTCTTATAGAGTGAAAAATACGGTATTTTTGAAGTTGAACAGTTCTCCTCTCCTCACCAGCACCCCAAATCTGCAGCACACAGTTGAATAATGTCACCTATGGTGATGGCAGAATAGCACTGCTAAGGTACATGTAGTCAAAAGCAACTAATATAAGCATGCGGCGCCATTTCCCTTCACTACTGGAGGTTTCTGATTGAGAGATATAACCAGCAGCTTATAACTTTACCTGCCCCTTCTGGCAAATAAAAAATAAAAAAATCAGCACAGCTATTGAGCGTCCTAGTACCTGTTGTCGGATAACAGTTCTTCTGTTACTTTCTTGCCTGTGAACTTGTGCCTATTTCCCATCTTGAAGTTAAGAGTTTTTCTGAGTCTTCTTAGTCGTCGGGAGCAGTAACCTCTGAAGAGAAAAACCACAACTTTTTAGTTCTTACAAAGAATAGAACTTGGGCTGGATTCAACTAAATAGGTTCCAGGAGCCAATGCAACAAGCCCTGCTAGCCTAGTGGGGTTCCCCCTCCCCACTTTGCTTGGGAAGGCAAGGAGAATACCCAGAACAGTGTGTGGAAGGAGGAGATGGGAGTTTGTTCTGTCTGGCAAGCTTGCACTAACAGAAGGATAGGATTTACACAATGTTGAATTCCATTTTTTGCCTCCTATTTAACTAAGAAAGAGGAGGACAGTAAAAACAAACCTAGAGCTATAATACATTTCATATATTAGAGGGCACCATGTGTGGCTGTCATCAGTTTTTACAGTGGAAGACAGCAGTCATAGCCAAAATGTTAATAATCAGGAAATCTTGGCAGCCTACATGACAGATTTACAGAACTGAATGGAACCACAAAGCAGCTGCTTTAGAGTGGTGCACCAGATGGCTTATGGAAATGAAGCCTTTAGTGCCTAGGTAACACACGAGTTCTGAGTAAGTAGCTTTCCATTCAGTGTTTTGCATATTCCTCTACACACCTGTAAAAGCTGTATTATATAAATTATATGCAACACCATGCTAGTGCTTTATATAATTGAAGAAAAAGCCACACAACAATTTAATGATTCAAATAAATGGGGAAGTATCTTTAAATGTTAAATAGATACAAATTTTCATAAAGAAGTGGAAGGAACAGGTTCTCTAAAACTAGGTTTGCCATACGTCCGGAATTTCCCAGACATAGCCTAGCCCTCGTAAACAGTGTCTGGGGGAAATCGCTGAAATGTCCGGGGAAACCCAGTTGTATGGCAGCCCATGTTGGTAGTGTAGATTTTGGTGAATTTCCATAAAAGTAGCTCAAAATATTTGGGCAAAACTTTAAAAAGCTCAACAACTTTAGGGATGGGGGAAGAAGCAGCTCAACAACATTTGTGTCCAGATTTTCACTTTTTGAAATATGGCAGCCCTGCTAAAACTGCAGAAAGAACTAGCATCTGTTTAGACCTAGTCATTTAAATAAAGACAAAAGGACATTGGCAGCAAATCATTCCCATTCGTTATTCCTAGTATACCAACCTGTATCTCTGAAAATCACCATGCCGTAACCCATGTTGCTGTTGCGATTCCTTAACAATCTGAAGGACTGAAGAACTTGTTAAGGAAATGTTAAACAGGATGCTAAAGATGTATCATTAAAATGACAGCTGTTATTTGGAGCACATGTAAATAACTAACTTTCTATTTTGTAATATTACACTGATACTTATTTCTGAACTGGGAAAGCGTTAAACAAAATAAGTTTTACAGATTACCACAAGCAGAATTCACTGGAAAGCCAATACAACTGCGTATATCAATGTTAGCTTGAAGATCACTGTTTAAATTCAGTTAAGCTATATTCTAGGAAACCCAATGGTTCCTTATATATTTATAAAGAGATATTTGATGATGAGATAAAGTTCAATGGGGCTTACTTCCAGGTAACTGTATCGAGGACTGCAATCATAATCATTAATTTGTGAGATTAACTGATCTGATAAATTAGTTACAAAATAAAAACTGGTACAGATAGGCCAATAAGTATAGTAAGAGTAGTAAGTGTACAGATAAATTCAAAAAGAAGCCAAAAAGTAGTCTGTACTTTACATTTCCCATCTGCCTTTTCAGTAACGCAAGAAGAGTAAACACTTAAAATAATGAAGTATCAAAAATTCATTGGGTCTTCTGATCAGTTCTTAATAAAATTTTAAAAATCAACCTTTCTAGGCTCCAAACGCACAATATAAAAAGCATGAACTACAGGTTCCCTCTTCCTGAATCCACAGAAACAAAGATATTTATTAAATCTTAATATTTATGGAAATCAGCCAATTAGCAAAACAAAGGGCAGAGCACAATAGCAAGCAAGCATAAATGCTCTCCTTATTTCAAGACAGCTAATACTGCATGTGGCAATTGCATAGTTTGGGATATTGAATTTCTGAAATGGTATACTTTCCAGTAGGTTTCAATGAACTGCTACAACTTCCACTATGAACACTTTGCAGTATTTAGTAGTGGTAGCTCTGGAGAAGGAGGCAAAAAGTATGCCTTTTTCAGGGACTGTTAAATTTTCTGCTGCACACAACACATTTCTACATGATCACCAGTTACTTTTAATCCCAATCACCAAATTAACTTTCAAACACTGACCTTTGTTCATCTGACAATTTAATGCTGCCCTCATCAATCCATAAACAACTATTTCACTCTATATCAGAGTATATCTATTCCACAACAATGGCCTCTTGTCTCCCCCACTGTCTAAATTGTAAGCATCTAGGTGCAATGACTTTGTGGAAGTTTTTATTTTAAACTTGTATTGCTTGGTAAAGTGTTACATATGCTGGTAACACTAAGGAAAAATCAATTTCACCAAAAGATCCACAAAGTTTAGCAAAATAACACTTTGGGCCTGGATTTATTTCCACAGTATAACATTTCATTTTTATATAGCAGTTATGAATGCTTCTCCACAATGTCCAACAGCACAGGACTGCTATATCAGTCAAAAGAGCTTAGCAGTACTTCTATAATCTGCTATATGGAGCAGATTACAAAGGAAAGACTACCCCCCCCGAAAATGTATATGAAACCAAATAATTCCAAAGAATAACTCTTTGCTCCAAAAAGAGATCGGTAAGCAGGACTCCGAATCCCTGCTCAGATATCTTTGCTACAAACTGCACACGGATTTCACATTTCAACACTGCTTTTTTCCAGGTAATAAGTCTGCCATGGCCTACTGCCACAAAATAAATTCCATACGGAGCCTTTCAGAAACAGGCGCGGCCTGCAAATCCAGGCGGTTTAGGGGATGGTAGTGGAAAGAGAAAGTTCTTCTTAAATATGCCATATGTTGCTGGATCCCAAATCCATTCTGTCACAATCTCAAGGAGTAACGCCCCCCCAACAACAAAAAACCCCGACCACCCTATAACGCCTGGCTAAAACTGTACCCTAATGTAAAGCTAAGATGGGCGGGGTATATATAATAACATTATTATTAATTATTGCTAATCTGCTGCTCTGCATCCCTAAGGTCCACGTCAGCTGCTCCCGCTAATGCCCATTTTGACCCTTCTTCCACTAGGAAATCTGCCAGTGGCCCCTTCTCCGACAGCCACATCCCCAGCCCTGGAAAGAGCGAGGGAGGAGGCAGCGGGAGAAAGGCCCACGGAGCCCGAAGGGGCCAGAGGCTTCCTGAAGGCCAGAGGCCAGGGCTGCATGGAGGGCTCCGCCGCTCGCTTAAGTGACACGTCCCCACTAAGCCCTCCCCAAACCCCGTCGTGCCGGCAGGATACTTTCCAGGCCCAGGCTATCGCCAAGGCCGCCCGGTTTCGGCTTCTCATTCTCCTTGTTCTCCTCTAGGCCCGCCGCGGAGCCTCCGCTGCTGTTGCCGCCGCCGCTTCCACCACCTCCACGGCCGCTACCGCCGCTGACCACCTGCCGCTCAGCCGCCATCTTGCGCCTGTTCCACTCGCGGCGCGAGGCATCACGGGACGGGAGAGGAGAGCCGTCGGGAGCGCGGGGCGTAGCGGACATGGCCGCTGAGGATGACGGGAAAGAGGAGGACTGGGCAGGGCTGGGCTTTCGAAAAGAGAAAGCCCTTTAGTAAGGGGCTATTTAAATGGTTGAGGCCGCCCCCGAGCCGCTGCACATTCGGGCAGAGGGAACTGGGGCGGTACGTCAGCAGCTCTGTTAGCATTTAAAGCTGAAGCGGGGAAGCCGGCCGGATTTTTGGGGGGGACTCCAACTCCCACCCGCCCCGGCTAGCGTGACTAACGGCCAAGGATGATGGGAATTGCAGTCCAACAAAAACATCTGCAATTCCCTAGTCCCTCCGCGTGTAATTGTCTAATTGAAATATTTGCATGCACTTACCTAATTTGCACACACACCCGCCTGCTTCTTTTCCCTTGCCTTCAGCTGCTGTTTCCCTGAATCTATTTTTATATTTTAAGTTGTGTTCTTGTAAGGCCCCGTGTATACTGAGATGGTGTTAAATAAAAGTGACGAATTATTCTAATGGCAGATTTGAGCAGAGGCTCCTCTTTTAAGTTCTAAGGAGCGATCCGCTCAGCGGAACCGCTGCAGCAGCAAGTTCCCCAATACGGAAGACTGCTGCAACTGCTGTCTGAGCACTGTTAGGGTATCCACTTGGGTTTATTTGGCCAAACATTCATTTTTCAGAACCAAAGGAGCCCCCCAAGGCAGCTTACAAAGCCAAAATAGCACATTAAAAACAAGAAGAGAGCATCAACATCAGTGCTGTTAGAAACAAAATCAGAAGGAGACAGCTGAACATGTATTGGGACAAAGTTTCATAATCCACCATGATTGCCAATTCAGAAAAAAACAGACATTGGAAGGGTTCCTGACCGTTAGGTCCAGTCGCGGACGACTTTGGAGTTGCAGCGCTCATCTCTCTCTATAGGCTGAGGGAGCTGGTGTTTGTCCGCAGGCAACTTCTGGGTCATATGGCCAGCATGACTAAGCCGTTTCTGGCGAACCAGAGCAGTGCACGGAAACGCCGTTTACCTTGCACTTTGGCATGCTTTCGAACTGCTAGGTTGGCAGGAGCTGGGACCAAGCAACGCGGGGATTTGAACTGCTGACCTTCTGATCGGCAAGCCCTAGGCTCTGTGGTTTAGCCCACAGCGTCACCTGCGTCCTTTAACAATAGACAGCAGTAGAAAAGTGTGTTTTCCAACCAGGGCCGGCTCATGACATTTTGCTGCCTGATGTGAAGGACAAAAGGGCAGCCTCTCCCAAGGCATATAAAAAAGCCAACTGGACTGATAGTTGAATCTTACCCCATTACCGGTGAATGAACAATATCCTCCCTGTGCTTGAGGCTAGCATTGGGGACACATGACACTCACAGGTCTGGCCACTCATCACACCTCAGCACCTGCTGCCTGAGGCAGGTGCCTCATCATAGAGCCTGCCCTGTTTCCAACTTAGAGATGGTTTGAGTGAGAAAGCTGCAGATGCTGAATTTTCTGTTTGGCCTGCAACAACTAAAGGCATGGGGATCTGCCATGAAAAAGATCCAGCGGCAGCTGCCCCAAACCTGGCACACTTTGTTATTCCAGAGAGTTTGATACACAGATGTCCTTTTAGAGCTCCATTATGCTCCAGCTGAACAGATACCCCACAGCTACAGTCTCACTGCTGTGCCAGCTTTAGCATGCTTACACAGTTCTGCAGAGTTCAACTGGCATTCTTGTGCCTAATACGTTTAACGTGCAACTCAAATGTGTGCAACACCAGGACACTGTAAAAAAAAACATTCTTGTGTTCCCCAGACTTTTGATAGCAAAGCCAAGCATTTTTTAATGGATTAAAATGGGAGACATGCTTCCCTCTTACACCCATAAAGGTTTGTGTTTCGAGTACTGAAGTGCTGAGTGAGAGGAGAGATCATGAGTTACAATGTCTGTGATAACAGCTGCTTAGGCCAGCATGGCACTGGTCATGGCTGAGGGGAGCTGGAGTGCAGGGTCACAGGTCGCCTCCCTGCCCATGTGTTAAGCATACTTACTAGGCAGTTCTCTGGCTATGATTGTGGCCTTCCAGGGTCCTCCAGTGGACATTTCACTGCACAAAGATCTGGTTGGTGACGAACAGGTTTTTCCCTTCAACCCCAAATGAAGGGGAAGGAGAGCAGGGCTCTGAGTACGTGTGTTCTGTTGACATGTGTTACTGGAGTGTAATTCCCCCTTGAAAGGAGCATGCTGGATCAGACCAATGACCCATCTAGTCCAGCATTCTGTTCTCACAGTGGCCAAGCAGGCACCTGTGGGAAACCCTCAAGCGCACTCTCCCCTCTTGCAGTTTCCAGTAACTGCTATTCAAAAGCATTACTACCTCCACCTGTGGGGGCAGAACATAGCCATCATGGCTAGTAGCCATTAGACCATGGATTTGTCTAATCCTTTTTTTAAAGCCATCGAAGTTGGTAGCCTAAATTGTCTCCTGTGGGAGTGAGTTCCATAGTTTAACTGTGTGCTAGGACCTTTGGGTTTTCTTTGTCAGTGAAACAGCCACATGTGGAGGGGGAAATTGGACTCTCCTTGGACTGTTCACAGGCTCCAACTTGTTCAATCCATTTTCATCGTCTTTTCAGAATGTGAGTCTCTCAGCAGTAAATTAGATTTCTTCTCCAGACATATTTTTTTAAAAATTGAATTGTCACGATGACCTTATAGGAGGGTTTTTCTCTGCCCAGTAAAATACATCACATTCATAACTGCTATTTTCGCTAATATATTTCCCATTTGCACTGCATTTTAAAATGAGAGTGGCATCAAGGCGCACACATCCTTCATTCTGCCCTGGGGGAAAATGTACTTTAATATTAATAAAGAATTAGTAAAATTCTGCTGCAGCTCATTTCTCTTGTGTCACCTCTATTTCTGTGCAGCTCGCTTAAATCCACAAGGGCTTTTGTTGTGGCTCCTGAACACTTTCAGCTTTTCTTTTCTTTTGTTTTTTGTAGTTCCTAATAGAAAAATTGATGCAGGCTGATTTTCTGCCTCCAGTGGATGTTTTCAAATATTCAGTGCTATATTGTGTGATGACAGGAATGAAAAGATTTCTTTCCACATGACCGTTCCATTTCTGATTTTATACCTCAAGTTCCTAAAATGACCTTGTGTGATACCTGTTTTCAAAGGGCATGGTGGCTGAGATGTGTCCACTTGCTAGGTTCAAAGAACAATAAGCTGGATGGGAACCTTAACTTCACAAAAACAGTGACTTGCTCAGAAGGTTCCATAGACAAACCAGGATCTGAACTAGTCTTCTACATTCAAGCAGTATATGCCCCTGTCCCCTGCAACCCAATGGCTCTCAGCAGTTCAACAGCAGTCTACAACATGATGTGACCTGAAATATACTCAGAGTCCTATAGCGATTTCATGCTCTTTATTGCAGCTTGTAAAACAGTGATTGAATTGCCCCCCAAACCTCAGGCTTTTATATACAGTGGTATCTCTGGTTAAGTACTTAATTCGTTCCGGAGGTCCATTCTTAATCTGAAACTGTTCTTAACCTGAAGCACCACTTTAGCTAATGGGACCTCCCTCTGCCGCCGCGCTGCCGGAGCACAATTTCTGTTTTCATCCGGAAGCAAAGTTCTTAACCTGAGGTACTATTTCTGGGTTAGCGGAGTGTGTAACCTGAAGCGTCTGTAACCTGAAGCGTCTGTAACCCGAGGTACCACTGTACCTTATTTACAGAATGAGTCCCGTCTGATTGGCTGATTCTGCTTCCCTCCTGGAGCCTGATTGGTCTTTTCCTGCAGGCCAATCAGTTGTTGCATTCTATGATCCTACCAGCCTAATAGGCTGATTAACTTCCTCCTGGAGCCTGATTGGTCTTCTCCTGCAATCCAACCAGTTGTTGCATTCTAGGATCCAAGCTTAGTACATAACACCCTAACAACTTGGGACAGCTCTCCTATAGGAGCACCTGCAACCCTGCAACCATACACAATAGTTGAGTTCATCTGGGACACCATCATTTATTAAGAGTGCTGAGAGTTTTTAGGAGACCTTTATACCCCCTCTGAGGGATACAATTCCAAGAGTGGTTTAACCATCAGTTCCTCTTCACCGGGAACTATGGGAATTGTAGTCAGGGTAGAGTGCAGAGGTATCAATATCATTACTTTTTCTGATTGTTCCCAAGTTGTTATATATGGTGATGGGGTTCGCTCCAGATATATCCTTATTTTCATCACTCCCCACCAGCAGCAGCAGCAGCACCAGCACCAGCACCATGCCTGGCCCAAATCAAGGACTGTTTCAAAGTTGTTTGGGTAGGAGACAGCTCAGTACAGAAAAGCAGAAACATTCTTATTATCTCCTCATACACTCCATACTTGGTATTTTCTGTAATTTTCCATGTACTTCTTTTTCTATTTCACGAAATTAATAAAAACAACAAAAACAGCTTGAAAGCCATCATTAAGTATGTCTTTTTATTTGTGACAATTCAAGTGTGTGGCTGGCTGTAATAATTCTAAATTATCCCAGGATTCAGTTACCTTTTATTTTCTAGCTGTAATTGCCAGCAGCATACCAGCGACAGACAATATAACAACTAAGACTTAAGAGTGTCTGGCAAAGAAGAAAGTTTTTCAAACATATTTTGCTAACAACAACAACAAAATGAATGGATCTTCTCATATTTGAACTAATTTTCTTTTCTGCTCTTCTGGAGTTGGCATCCATTTTGTGCTTGGCTACACTGCTGGTGGCAACCATTTTCTGACTGGTGCTGTCCATGCCTTTTCAAAATTCCCAAAATGCCCCTGGACCAAAAAAAGGTTGGAGACTCCTAGTCTACAGATAGCCTCTCCCTTCTATTCCATGTCACAGATCTTGCTGGATTTGACCAATAAAGTGCTTATAGCCAAAATCATTACCACCCTTATTCCACAGAGTAGAGAGCACACCATATGGTACGCAAGTTAGCAGCTATGTGGCAGGAGCAGCCCAATCTGTT